GCCCTTTTTTGTTTTTATAAAGATGAGCTATTAAATATTAAATAATATAATTATAAATTCTGTGGCGAAATAGGAAATTTGCAATTCAATCTGATCCCCAAGAATTTAACTGACTGAACACAAAATCAATATAAAACTTGCAAAATTATATTTTTTACTGCCCAATTTTAATTAAATACTGCCAAAAGTAATGAAAAATGCTGACCATTTTAATCAAAATACATCCAGAGGTGATTATCAGCAGTGACTATTATATTTTTCGAATCTAACAATCATTATTTTGCCTATGAATTTTTTTTAAAATTTGCAGAAAAGAAATAGTTATAATTTTATTAAATGATGTATGGAATAATAAATTATAATATTCAAATGAAACAATTCTAGAACGTATATGTTCTCCAATTGAAGAGAGAAAATTAGGCAAGTCCCTTTCTCTCTTCTAAAAAATCAATACATACATTTTTTAAAATATTTTGTTTCGTTGCATAACTACGATTTTTTTGGGGAATGTATGTCCCAGTACTCCATTGGCCGATTTTGCCGATGTCGACGGCTATTTCCATCCTCATTTTTTCGATTAATTCCCATATCTTAGGTTTTTTGTGGCCTATAATATGCTGAAATCGATTATTCCATCCTTCACATACATTGTTTGTTCGATTTTTTCCAGCAATCGTAGCAATCGTAACGTTGAACACATTCCATGTTTCAGGTGGGAACAATGGCTATACTTGCCTTTGAGAGTTTCTCCCATATCTAAATTCTCCATTCAAATAATTTTTTTCAAAATAAATTAATAATTCTTAGTTTTCATCCGATACAATGGTTTTTAAATACTCCATACCTCGTTTGACATCGTGTATAGGTAAGAATGCTAATCCATCGATCATAGCTGCAAATAAACATAACGTTGGATCATTTCGATATGATGATTCTAACCCCAATTCTTGAATCTTCCTATGAGTGGATTGAGTTAGATGATAAAAACATCCTTGGATGATGATATCTCTACCTAAAAGTTGAATATAGATTTAAATTATTGTATAGGTTGTTTTATTTAATATTTATGTCTTTATCAATTTTCATTAATTACTAGAGGTTGGTGCGTTCATCCTACACTCATAAAAAAACCGTTTAAAATATTCCTAAAAACAACAGAAAAAGGAAAATAGAATTTAAAAAAATTTCAAGGTCCACGGTCCAAAATACATTTTAAAATCAAGGTCCTAACATATCTCGATTAGTATATAGTTGTAATTAAATCGTAAAAAGAAACCTAGAGTATTTTCGATGGGATTGATTGCGGCCTTTTCAAAATCCATAAAAATTGTTATCGGATCTATGACTAAATTCCGTTCTATGGGCTTTTTCGAGTAAAATCTCAAAAATTTCTTCCTACGTTGTATACGTTTTTCTTTGTAACAAAAAACATGCCGCTGTAATAAACAGTGTTTTAAAGGGTATTCTAATTACATATAGCTGCAAAAATAAATGAGGAGCCAATTTAAAATTTCCGTCTATATACCAAGTTTTCGTTTTGGCTAACATTTTAAGCATAGAATCGGTGGCAAATATAATTATTCGTTCATTAGAATCTCCGCCATTTTCATGCAAAAGAAATCTCTCATTCGTAAAGATATTTTCAATTAAAAAGTTATTTATAGACATAAATATGATTTAACCTGAATTGCTTAATTCTTCCAATGTGGCCGGAATAGGAGGAAACCTTTTTATTTTGTGATTTCTAAGTGTCCTCTTGATACTATCTTCATTCGGAAGTCTTTTTCTGGATTCGGGAGACAATTTAGACATTTCTTCTGCGTATATTTGGCAAGTATTTGGATTTGTTTCAGATGCTTCTTTTCATCGTGCTTATAGCGTTTTCAATTTGATATTCATGTGGGTTTATAGGATGAATATGAGGCGTATTTTTCAATGTATAGTCATTTTCATTGTATTATTTCAAAATAACTGGGCATTTTTCAGCATTATATGATGTAAATTTGTATCTTTTAAAATTTTTCGTAGTTTTATGATAATTGTAGGAATAGCCCTCATGTAGCATGCTTACTTAACGGAAAAACATAAAAAATTTATTAAAATTATCAAAAATGTTTAAAATGTTTAAAATAGTAAAAGAAAATTTTATAAAAAGTAATTAAAAAACTAAATGAAAATCGTTTATTTCAAAATTACAAAGAATATACCACCCAAATATATAAATTTATTTATTCTTGAGCATAACTTTCCTTTCAACGTTATAAATATTAATAATATTAGGGAACTAACTGCGATTATGTAATAACATTTCCGGAGTTGGAAACTTTCAAATAAAAAAAGTTTTGTATTTTAAAGATTATAGTACCTCCTGTGTTTTCTTTGATAAATTAAATATATTTAAAATTATAATATTTATAAAAATAAGCAAATATTATTTAGAATAAATACTATAGGTAGCGTTCAATTACTTGAGATAGTCTTTGAATTAAATAAGCTTGTGTAATCAGTGATTAGGATCAACACTTTTTTTGAAAATTTATAATCAGATACAATTTTTAAAATCAATAGTATTAAACATAAAAAATTTCCATTATGTTATTTTTGTCCGGGGTTCAAACTGATATAAACGAACGGAACAGAATAGTGTCATAATATTCATTTTAATGTTATATATATTTTAACCTTAGTGGCGTGTTAGAAATAACCCCCCCCCCCCATCTTCATGGTAATTATAATGTGGTTTAATTACCTGTTTTCATAATATCTATTCAAGTCTAGATGAAAAGTGGATTATGGAAATAACCTTTCTCTTTCTAGAGAAAAATTTGCTTTCACATTTTTCTTTTCAATTTTAAATTGTAAAACCTCTTTCATAATTTTCATATATTTCTATAAAAAATCTATCGTCACAAATCTATACTTTTTATGCTATCTACTAAATTATAAAATATAAAAACTACCAATCGATTTATCAATTCTCATTTAAAGATTGCCCTTTTGGAATTAAAAAAGAAATACTCTCAACGTTCAGAAAATACTAATATAATTTTTTAGAAATATCTTTATTTTATAGCGGCGAGATTATTTTTTGATAATTTTAAAAAAATTATTCGGGGATTTTTTTCCTGTTTTTTTTCCGATAATTAATTTTATCCCCCATATTTAATTTAAAATCTAAAAAATGGGGAATTTATTTCCGAAGAAATATTTTCCGGGGAATTATTTTCTATGGGAATTTTTTTCCAGGGGAATATTTTTCCGGGTTGATTTTTTTTCTGGGGAATTATTTTCGGGGATTTTTTGGGGAATTATTTTCCGCTTACCCACAAAAATGACTGTGAACCGGTTTCAACCTTTTGGTATTTTCACCCATTTAAAGATGGTTAATAATCAGTTTTGACCGACAAGCAAGTATTAATAATAAATTTTTCGCTATTTTTCTGTATTTCTATTTGAACGGTGCCAGCTGTTCTCGGCATAAAATTTATTCTTCCTCCTTATTGATATAATTCGACAGAAGAAAAATCTTTTAAATATTTTAATTGTAATATGCGGGCTCGCTCAATAATATTTTTCTTGGAGAATAGTAGTAAAAATTTTTAAAAAAATGTTCTTTCCTATACATAATTCTAATATACGCTTGTACGCTAAAAAGTTTGAAACACCTTTTTTCGAACCGAGCTTTAACCGTCATTTTTATCTTGAACTAAACCCCCTGGAAACGGCTATGAAAAAAACTTTTCCTAGAAATGTCTTTTGTCTTTAGGTATCCGCGAGAGGCAGGCTAGGGTGGGGGGATAAGGTAAAGTTAAGTCAAAATAACTGGCAAACTTAATACATCCTCGGGGGCTTAACCAGTTGATTATCACCAATCAATGTTTATTTGTTATTTCTATCCTAAATCATGGATGCCTGATTCTATTGGATGGATGAAGGAATATCCTAGGGATGTTTTTATTATCATAATCGAGTTTAAATGGTATTGGAGGGGGCGGGTAGATTTTAAAAGGGGGGAGAAGGTGTTGGCTTCCAAAGAAAATTCTGTCATGCCGACTTTTTGAGTTGTCAAACATAAGGATCCAAACTGTACTTAAACTCTTAACTAGGTTGAATTTATCTTCCTTAGATATATTAACAATTATAAAATATGAAGAATTGTGGTTCCAACTAATGATACAAATCCACTTCATATTATAGCCAGAAAAATATTATGCAAGCATGAAGATTTTGCTTCAACGAAATCTCGAGTCTCAGGCATTGGCTGAAATATTAAGCTCGCCCTTTTTTAAAAATCGACTCAAATGCAGCGACTTTGAATCACTAAGTTCCAACAATCATTTAGAGATTTATTGTAAAATATAAATTTTAGAGTAAAGGACAAATATTTTTGAAAAAATGGTCAATTCCTTTAAAATTAGATTATAATTTATTTATAGCTTCGGAGTTATTTTTCAAATTAGTTAGATTTTTTTTTAAAAAAATAAATAAATAATGACACTAATATGACTAAAATATCTTAAATTTTTAATGTCAAGCTCTTAAAAGGCGATAATGCATTAAGTAAGATTAAATCATAAACAGTTCCATCATAAAATATGACGCTATAAATTTAAAATTTTCTTTCTTTCTTTCTTCAACAAAAATAGGTTTAGAGTCACTCTCCACATCGATTGAGGAATTGATCGCTTCTCTCAGTCAGTTTTCCTACAATCTTAAAATGATTTTCAAACAAATTCTATCACGCGGGGCATGACCAACAGAATCGGCACGGAATGGGGGGCTACACTTCATATAATAGCAATACATTCTCTCTTTTCCTTAAATTTAATTGCAAGAAATGATAAAAATAGGCATTCGTCTTTATTATAGTTACCATAATATCATTTTTTTTTTATAATAAAAGAACATTTCTTGATAAAATAATAATCACAATTATTTTCAAAATTTTTAATATTTTATATATATATATATATACTAGAAAAAACACAGACTAACGGATATAAGAAAATGAATATCTTTTTGTACTAAAAGTTTCGAACAAATTATTTATAAGTTATATATATATTTATATTTAAATATTTTTGTATATAAAAAAAATGAAGTAATAATACATATATTCTATAAATGTGTGACACGTATACAAATTACATTAATACAGACGATGTGGGCAAATGGATAAAAGCTTTAAAAAAAAATGGCGATGGTAAATTAAAAACTTATTATGATTTTTTTATTTTTTTTTTAAAAAAAATGGACGAGATATATGTTTATTTTAAAATATGCATTTATATGAATGTTTTGTCGATTCTGAGAAACTGATTTTGAGATTTAGGGGTTGCATGTTTATAATACAAATAACCAGATGGGAAATATGTTGGGCAAATGTCGCAGAGAAGATATGCAAATATAAATTGCTGTTATATAAGTGAAAATAATTAAATTTTAAAAAAAAAATATTTAAATGTCATTATGCAGTAAATTAAGAGAATAATATCTTCTCTTCTTTTTTTTCTGTAATTGGGTTTACAATTGCACGGTGGATACACATTTTAAGTCATATGTTTTTATACGTAGACATTTAAACTCCCGAAAAATATTTTGAGATTAATTCTACATTTGGAGGGAATTTGGGTATTTTAAAAATAGTCTTTTATCACGTTTGATCTAACTCAATAATTTTTTTAAAAACGCTTAATTTTATGGTTTTTTTTAAGTAGGAAGAAAAAAAAATAAAGGCCATTTTTGCGTGAGGATTTATAAAACATTTTTTTAAAAAGGATACGTGATTGGATTTAATAGCATATCGTAGAATTGTTTTTTAAAATAATATATTTTTTTTATAGAGATTTACGAATTTAAGATATATTCGCAATATTAGATCATATTTCAAAAATTAAATCTAAATTGTCAGTTTAAAATAATATATATATATATGTTTAATAATTGCGTGTAACAAACCACAAGGGTCCGTAGAAAATTATCTTTCATATTTTGTCTTTTGTTTAGATATCAAAAATATAATATCTAATACATTAAATTTTTTAGAAGTTTATCCATTATTTTTTTTTATAAAAAAAATATAAAAATTAAAAAAATAAGATTTTTCTAAAGGAATGATGTGCCTATTATTTTATCTTTTTTATATATAATTTTTTAAATCAACTATTTTCATGACCGGCCAATATATAAAGGTTGCAAGTGGCGGAGGACGGTTCTATGGAGGGTCTGCTCTCTAACACAACAGTTTTGTCGGAGCCTAAAAGCTTAAAAATACGGCTTTTGTCACAAATCTCTTGAGTTATCTATAATAAAATAAAAACCAAACATGAAAAAGTTTATTATATCAAATTTAATATATAAAAAAATAATTAGAAATTTTGATTTTTTTTTAAAAAATTGATTGATTAAAAAAATAAATTGTCACACAAAAAAAATGAATAATTATCTTCTATAAAAAAAAAAGTCAAAAAAAATAAAAATACCTAAAACATTTTCTTCTAAAAAAATTTATAATATAATTCTTTTTTAAAAAAAAAACTAACTTCGTTCTGCGAAAAACTTCGACCTTGCATACCGTGTTTGTGGAACGCTAGTACACTATCGGTCAAACAAACTAATTTATTTTATGTAAATAAAAAATAAATAAAAATATTATCCATCTTTTTAAAGATTTACGGGCACACAGCTGATTAACCGTCTTAACCCTGCATTCGGAGTTAGTGCGAATATCGCGGGGAGGTGTACAAAATTACCGCGTATTTTGAATCCCTACCGGCGAATTCGCGGGTAACTATAAATGAGGGGTTAAGTTGGCTTTGTTAACGAATTCCATCAAAAAGATTATAGCTAACGGGTGTATTAATTTTGCATAGAAATGTTCCAAAAAAAAAGTGAAAAAGTGTCACGTGAAACGTGATTGAGAGAGAGATTAAATTGTCGATATTAAAAATCTTGATTTATTTGTTACCTATGGATTCAATTTGAAAATCGAATTGCAAGTTTGAATTATAGGAGTATATTTTATCGACGGTTCGATCGTCGCTATTGGAATCGGTCCTAAGATTGATCACCTTAACCTTTCCTGTTTATAGCATAAATATACAGATAATATATGCGTAAAATTATATCGTCTGTATCAGTTTAAATTGTTTTCCCGAAAAAAGAACGATTATCATCAAAATGGGGGATCGTATATTGTAATATAACCTTCAGTCTCCTTTCGAAGCTCTTTCGATTCGGCTTTTAGAATGAGTAGATCCAATAGATACTAACCCCTACCCTATATATTGCCTTCACCATGCATGTTTATGGGACATTTAAACGTGCCCGTAATACTCATTATAAAGATAGCCACTAGATACGCCCACCCATAGTTTTAATTTAGTCTCAATTATTATATTTATGTCAATAAAAATTGTAATCTAATTTTGGTTAAATTGAATAAATCACGTATAAATAATTGATAATTATCGATTGACCAGTTATTTTTTTGAATAAATAATTTTTTTTAAAAAATGGCGCTTACGATTATAACACAAAAGTAATGATTCTTTGTCAAGTTGAGTCATATTGACAATGTCGACTTTTCTTTCGTTGTCAGAAATTTTATCTGCCGAAAATAATAAATTATATATTATATAATACAATAAATAATCTCATTTCCTTTCTTTCCTATACATTATTATTATTTTGAGAATATATTAAAGGTCAGTGGTGTCGCTGAGGGAGGGGTGGGGGGAGTGTTCAAAAGGCCTAAAAGCTTATTTGAGCAAGCCATCTTAGGTGAAACGAGCTAGAGACGCTATTAAATTTTACTTATAATCCTCTTATAACATTTTCCCGTTTTTTTGTTAAAAAAAATTTCGTTATGATTTCGGGTCCCAAGAGATCTATCATCTAATTTGACAGGTTTGACAGTTTTCCCCAGATTTTAAATTGCCAAAACATATTTCCCTATAAAAAAAAATAGTAATATATTATAGAGCTGTTTATAAGAGAAGGTTAACGGTGCGGTTAAGACCGCTACACGGACCGAACGAATTTTCAAAAAAATGGGCCGGTCGCATGCGGATATCTATTTTCGAACCCAAAGGATCAAGTAGCTCGACTGGATCCGCTGAGCCGGTCCTAGATTTCAGAAATGTATGATTTTCGCAAAAATTTTAACATATCCAATAGTTTTGAGCCAATTTATTTTTAAACATTCTTCTCATTTTTTTTTGAGGAAATCGATAAAATTTTCAAACGCGATGGAATTTACCGGTAAACCACAAGGGATTGGCGTTGAGATCCACCATATTTATGGTCAATTTTTCGTTGTCAACATCGTTATTGTCATTTTCCATTCTTAATATATATATTTTTTAAAAAAAATATATAATTATATAAAATAAAATACATGACGCTCTTGATTATTATAAGGTTTTAACTGACATTTTCGAGTATAATAGTGCACACAAATTGAGCGATTAAGTTTTGCCGTAATTTTTTAATTAAAAATAAGTAACGCATTCCTTTGTTTTAAATTGAGATTGCCTTTTTATTAATATCTGTCGATTCAAAATTTAAAATAAGTTTCTAAAAAAAAAGGATTTGTCGATTTGTCTTTGAAAATTTTTATATTACATTTTTATATAAAAAGACACGAGTTTGCTAAAGAAATGGAATGCGCTAATGGAATTGGAAATATGGTTAGAATGGCAAAACAGATGTCAAAAAAGAGGCATGTGATAGGTGTAAAGTGTTTGAAAAATATGGAAGGAAAAATGACGATTGATAGTAGTGGTATTAAGAACACCTGGAAGATTTACATGAAAGGACTTTTGAATGAAGAAAATGAATGGAATAATAATATTAGTTGTGCAAAGGTAGAAGGTCCAGGGTGTAAATTTGGCAAGGACGAGATAAGGAGAGCAGTGAAAAAGATGAAGAAAGGGAAGGCATCGGGTTTAACGATGGTGGTATCAGAGATGTTTAAAGGTTCTGATGATTTAGGGATTAAATGGTTAATGAATTTAGCAAATCAGATTGTCACAGAAGGTACTATTCCCGAGGACTGGCGAAGAAGTATAATTATCCCAGTATACAAGGGGAAAGGTGATCCTTTAGATTGTGGGTCTTACAGAGCTATTAAACTCTTGGAACATGCAATGAAAGTATTTGAGAGAGTGTTAGAAAAGCGGATAAGGGAACAAATCAAAATTGATGAAATGCAGTTTGGTTTTACATCGGGAAAAGGCACGACAGATGCAATTTTTGTGGTGAGACAAATTCAGGAGAAGTATCTTGCGAAGGAAAAGAAACTCTATTATGCGTTTGTTGATTTGGAGAAAGCATTTGATAGGGTGCCGCGTGAGATTACAAGATGGGCCTTGAGAAAATCCGGTGTGGAGGAATGGTTAGTTACCGCAGTGATGGCAATGTATGTTGGAGCACAAACAGCAGTACGGACGGATTATGGTGATAGTGACAGCTTTGAGGTGAAGGTAGGACTTCATCAAGGATCCGTGCTGAGTCCATTATTATTTATCTTAGTAATGGATGTGGTAGAGAAATGCGTGAAGGACTTCCCTGGGAGATATTATATGCAGATGACCTTGTATTAATGGCAAACAGTGAGGGAGAATTGAGGGATAAAGTTAGTAAATGGAAGATGACTATGGAAGCAAAGGGCCTGAAAATGAATGCATCAAAAACAAAGGTGATGATTGGTGGGGAAAATCTAAAGATAGAAGAATCAGGTAAGTGGCCTTGTGGTGTATGTGGGAAAGGCGTTGCTAGAAATTCTATCCAATGCACCAGATGCCAGAAATGGGTACATAAAAGATGTAGTGGGAAAAAAGGCAGTTTGATGTTAGAAAGAATGACCTTTATTTGTAAAACATGCATGAAAGGGATACATAATAATGATAACCTAAAAAATGGTGGTCTGGATATTGGCAATGGGTTAACCCTAGAAAAAGTGGATAAGTTTTGTTATTTAGGTGATATGCTAAACGCAGATGGTGGTGTAGATTCTGCTGTTGTTGCAAGGATCAGACAAGCTTGGAAGAAGTTCAGAGAGATGTCGTCTATTCTTACAAATAAAAAAGTTTCTCTGAAGTTAAAGGGGAAAGTTTACGTAAGCTGTGTGAGGAGTTGTTTAGTTTATGGCGGTGAAACATGGGCAATGAAAGCAATTCACGAAGCCAAATTAGAAAGAACAGAGATGAGGATGGTTAGATGGATGTGTGGGGTATCTCTGAGAGAGAGAAAAACTAGCAAGGAATTGCGAGCAAGATTAGGTATAGAAATGATTGGTATGGTAATGCGACGAAATAGACTAAGATGGTTTGGGCATGTGGAACGTATGACAAGAGATGACTGGGTAAAGAGATGCACAATGATGGAAGTAGGAGGATCAAGACCTAGAGGAAGACCCAAGATGACGTGGACAAATGTGATAGCGGCGGATATGAGAAGCTTGAATCTTACAAGTATTGATGCTCAGGACCGTCAAAAATGGAAAAGAAAAATCAGAGGGAAAACTGGCCTACCCGGGTAAACCTGGAAATCGCCATAAAACGGAGAAGAAGAAGAAGAATATGATATTTCAAAACGAAGAATAAAAAAAAAGTAATGTAAAAGCTAACCTATTTAAGTTTTTTTTAAATGGTTGCTAATGCCAAACGGTAATTTTACCAATGTGCACGAGGCCATTTGAAAGGCATTATTTGCGTTTGAAACGCTCAATTTGTGCTCACTATAAATCAGGGCTGTGAAACCCGAACCCTGAGAACCCTAAATATTTTACTTAACTCAAACCCGAAACTTTTTTTTTTCTTAAATATGAAATTTAAATTTATTTTTTAAAAAATATGTTAAAAATAACATAATATAAAAAAATAAATAAAACTATATTAAAATTAAATATATTTTTAGTGGAATCTTTTTTTTTTATGTTATATTTTAGAGTTACTCCATTTTATGTAAAAAATTATAAAAATTTTACCATCTTTGTAACTATATGTTTTTTTTAAATAATAGATAAATTAATACATATTTCAGGAATATTTATTTTTTGTTTTGTTGGATTATCAAATTAAAAGTAAGACCAAAGAAAAGGAGCCAATCACAGGGTAAAATAGCTTTATTAATTACAAGTTGCGATGCACTGTCAGAGTTAGGCATTAAAAAATTGATACATTAATTTGACGACATATTATTCGGGTTGTTTTTTTTTATTAAGAAATGGGCAGTAAAATAAATCAAAAATGGGGTAGTAGTAAAAAAACATATGGTTAGTATTTTAAATTTTTGGTCAGTTAATAAATAATTAGTCAGTTTTTTATATTTACCTGGGCAGTTTTAATTTTCTACACCAACTTTTAAAATGGATAACCAATTGATGAATATTGTTCGGATTCATCTGATTACTTATGAAAAAAAAATCAAAGATATTGTTGGTTTAAAGGAATAGATCTTCAAAAATGCTGAAGTCTCCATGAATATCTAATAGTAATTCTTGGGTACTATACAAATGATACAGAAAAGGGCAAGAAAATTTATTTTAGATGTAAACTAGTTTAAAAGAGGAGCGCAATATGCTGCAAGAATTTATTTCCTTTATAATTCTAATAATGATAATGCAACATACACATATCAATATCATACTCGTCAACTTATTGAAACTGAAATTCTCAAAATGCCTAGTGATGTAAAATTAAGGATAGAAACTTTATTATGGGTCTCAAACCTAATACGATTATGAAAAATTTCCTAAAAAAAATATTTAATATTACCTTCAATAATTCAAAGGTTAAAAAAGGCTTTTGTACAATAACATGTAAGTTTTAGTTATCATTTAGATATAAACATTTATAAATAATTTCCTATTTTTTTTAGATTTTCTCAAATGACACAATGTGCAATAACAATTCCATTTTAAATCTAATATTTGATATATTTATATTTGTTAATTTACTAAATTTTATATATTTGATATGATAATTATAAAATGTTCTTGATAACTTATAATTTGTATAAATAATTAAAAGGCTCTTGTTGTACGATAACATAGAAGTTTTAATTAAATACAATAAAAACTGCAATTCCAATAACATTTTTGATATTTTATTTAATTCACTTTTGGACCATGAACCCTGAAAACCCGGTTCAAGAGAAATTTTACCGAACCAGAACCCAACCCTGAATCCTTTTTTTAGAATAAGAGTTGGGTTCTGGTATAAAGTAAATTTAAGACTCAAAAAATTCAGAGGTCCCCCTTTTCATACACCCCTTCCTTTAACATTAAAAAATAGATCTCTGAAAAGATACTCTTCAAGACAAAATATTAGAAAATTTATCTTACTTGATTCTTACATCGACGCATACGAATGGGTATTCCATTTCTGGAACAATAATGAGCTCGAACACTTTAAGGTCGGGCGACAGTTGACAAGGAAAGGTCTTGAAAATTTATAGAAAAATTATATTTTTTTCGATGAGAAAACGAAATATATATATTTTTTTTTAAATAATCATAAATTATTTTATCAGCCAAGGCTCCTTGGAGTCCAAACCGGCCCCAGTCAGGTCACGGTTTTAGTTGTTAAAAAAAATGATTCCAAGAAGCAGCTTGATTTAACTGTTTAAGTTCGATTCGGTTCTCTGAATTATATGATTTTTTTGAATGAATGAAATGGCAAACTTTGACGAGCATGAATTTGTTCATGGGTTCGTACCATTGCATGAGGACGATGGAGGTGGGAAGGGCGGCGCAGAGATACTTGTTACCATTATAAGGGTTGCGGGCTACGGAGCATTTGAAAACGTTTTTTGAGTCTGTTATCTTGCATGAGGGGTTATTGAATTTTCTAATAAAGAAGAATTAAATTTATTGTATACATTTTTTATTGTAGGAAAAAAAACAAAACTTAAAAAAACTAACGATAAATAAGTAAATAATTAATGTATAATAGTAAACTTGGCGAATAATTTTTCAGGTAATTTTCCCATGGGGAGTGAAAAGCGATGCCCGGATTTGTTCATTAATGTCAGTAGATCGTGTTTGTACAAATAAGTCGTGGTTTTACCTAAAAATATTTTGCGTGTTAATAAAAAAAACTGTCATATAAAGAACTATGCGAGGTGACGATTAGAAAAAAAGAAAAACAAGAGGACCGTGAAAAAAGTTAGAAAAAAAAACACATTCATTCACTGACTTATTAATTTTTTTTTCTAATCTTCATTTCTTTGCAACTGCCTTTGTTATCTAGTGTGACATCTAAGTACATAATTTTGTCTACTATTTTACTGCATTTCCTTCAACCGTAAGATTTTAAGCGGTGGTGCGTTTGGGGAGGGGAGAAAAAAAGTTTTATTGAAATTTATTGCTAGTCCGACTCTTTGACTCAAGATCTCTAATAGGTAGAGTAAATTTTTGGTTTCGCCTATACTTTTGGAGATTACCGTGATGTTATCTGCGTATGATATTATTCTGTTTGCCAAACATATCGTTTGACCCTAAATTTACTAGGTCGGCTGCACCCAGTGCTTCTTTTATGACTTTATTTATTATGATATTGAACAGGAGTGGCGATAGAATACAACCTTATTTTACGCCTTTTTTTATTCTGAAGGAAGGGGATATTCGATCTCTTATTTTGGAACATGCAACCAGTTTAGAATAGTGATTTTTAAGGATGAGAATTATGTTGGGTTCAATCCCACACTCTGACAGCGTTTCTCATGGTGCATCATGGTTAACATTATCGAAGGCTCTACTAAAATCTACAAAAGAAAAGTAGTAGGGTATTTTGTATTTATAACACTTCTGCATAATTATTTTTATGGCTATGGCTCCAGTATGTTTTTGTTTGGTATGTAGGCAAAAATGTCTTTGGGGAAAAGATGAGGCGAAGCTGATATGATTCTATTTTTTAAGAGGACCATAAAAATCTTTGAGACGTAGGATGTGAGGGCTACGGAACGGTAATCCGTAAATTTTTGTGGGTCTTTAATTTTAGGGAAGTTACATAGGCAGGATGTGTTCAATTCCGCCGGAGTGTTTCCGCTCGCCCATATTTTATTGAAGAGGGTTAATGAAGATATTGTCAAATATGCTATTTTTAGGTATTCTGCCGGATATTATCTAGCCCCGGCATTTTGTTTTTCCGTCGTTTCTTGATTACATTTGATATTTCATTCATGGATAAGCCAGATGGGGTGGGGCGAGGTTTTGTATAAGCTTGTTAGTGTTGCTTTCCGCGAGTCGAAGACCCTCATATAATAATCAAAAAATGTCATTTGTTCATCCTGGTCAATAATTACCTTTCCGTTTCCTAAAACTATAGAGGGGAATTTCCTAAAACTGCAAGGTTTACAGAAATATTTTGATTTGTTATAGGCGTCATAGATCCTGTTCTCTTTCATGTCTTAATCGATTGCGAAGGCTTTTTTCACTATGTAAATCAGTCTGTCACTCCGTAGTAATTTTTAAATGTTCTTCCATAAGTCACTATTAGGGCCCTTCTCCATTCTTAAGTGATTGATTTTTTCCAAATTCTCACCATTCTTTCCTTGAAAAAGGATTTGCATTCGGCAGACCATCAAATGATTCAGCAAGATCTCTTTTGAAAAGTTTCCAGCATTCTTCTACGTTTCCGTGCATGGTTACATTTAGAAAGTTAGCTATTTTCTGATTCAATGCTTGATCAAAAAGTATTGCATCTTCCAGCGTTTGTAATTTACTGAGTTTTCAACAAAATATGGAGGACACATTCCAGCGGAATGGAAAAAATCCTGCCTTGCAACTTCACCAAAATTAAAGACTTACTAAAATTTACGGATTACTGAGCCGTAGCTTTCACATCTTTTATCCCAAAGATCTTTATGGTCCTCTTAAAAAATAGAATCATATCATCTACACCGCACCTTTTACCCAAATATAATTGAGCGTGCAGGCCGAATAAAAGCACACTGGAGCCAATATTAGCTCTCAAAATAACTATACAGAAGTGTTGTAAATATAAAATACCTGCCTACTTCACATTTGTCAATTTTAGCATAGCCTTCGATAATGTTAACCATGATGCACTATGGGAAACACAGTCAGAGTGAGGAATTGAACCCAACATCATTCTCATCCTTAAAAATCACTATTCTAAACTGGTTGCAGTTTCCAAAATAAGAGATGGAATATCCCCTTCCTTCAGAATAAAAAAAGGCATAAAACAGGGTTGTACTCTATGGCCACTCCTGTTCAATATCATTATAAATAAAGTCATAAAGGAAGCCCTGGGTGCAGCTGATCTAGCAGATTTAGGGTCTAATGATACTATACGTTTTGCAAACAGAATAATATCATACGCAGATGAAACCGTGATAATCTCCAAAAGTATAGACGAAACCAAAAACTTACTCTACCTATTATAGATCTTGAGTCATAGAGTCGGACTAGCAATAAATTTCAACAAAACTTTTATTCTCCCCTCCCCAAAGGCTCCATTGCTCGAAAATCTTACATTTGGAGGAAATGTAGTTAAAATCGTGGCCAAAATAAAATACTTAGGTGTAACGTTAGATAACAAAGGCAGTTGGAAAGAAGAAATGAAGATTAAAATACAAAAGGCGAGGGGTGCTTTATATAATGTATATGAAAATATGGAAACCCATAGAAATCTCAGTGTTCACCAGACTAAGAAACTTTAACTCAACAATAATCCCAATATTGCTTTTTGGAGAAGATATATAGGAAATAAATAAGACAGAAAACGGGAGATTGCAATCCTTCATAAATAATTGCCTCCGGACAATTAATGGTATTTTCTACCCAAGAATCATCTCGAACACAAATCTTTGGAAAAAGTCAAATCATACTCCAATTAACATAAAATTTAAAAAAAACGCCGAATTCAGTTCTTAAACCACATAATATGGAACTCTGATCAAAATCAAGTACACGATGCCATAACATGGCTTTACACATACAAAGAGAAACAGTACACGAAATATAAATCATTATAGTACTATAAAACTATAAAGATGTGATGGAACTAAATATCAATATGAAACAACTTATAAAACTATATCAAAAAAACTCTTTTGCATTAAAGGGAGATATTTCAAATGAAGGCTCACAATCTAAAACTTCGTCCAATCGAAGAACGAAAAATATTATTAATTAAACACATCCCTAGTCGAGTTTACTTACTAAGACAAATTACTATAAAGTAATCAATAAATTCTTCAATGCATAAAGTAATGCATAAAGTAATCAAATACTGGAATCTTCTCAACACCGATTTGTAATCAACTAGCACAGAGATATCATAAACTTAAAATTTGTCCACCCCCCCCCCTTAAAGTAATTAAATTACACTGTAGTTCTAGAGTATAGACTCCTTTTTTGCCCCGCTCCTTTATTATTAAGCCTTTAGACGTTTGAGCAACATTTTTCGAAATGTTGTGCCTACAAGTACGTGCGGTTTGCCCACAAACGTGTGGAGGACTCCTCCAATTTTTACTTTTACACCCAAATTAAATTAGTTTCCAATTAGATGGAAATGAGGAAAACCCTAGCGTAGCTCTGTTGAACTTTCAACGCTAGAGGGCAAAAGCGCTACGCAATTTTAAATATATTATTTTGTGTTTTTGGAAATATGGAAATAGAAAATTATACACTTAGGATCAGATAATAAAATAATTATAGAGAAGAGAAGAGAAGAGAAGAGAAGAGAAGAGAAGAGAAGAGAAGAGAAGAGAAGAGAAGAGAAGAGAAGAAGAAGAGAAGAGAAGAGAAGAGAAGAGAAGAGAAGAGAAGAGAAGAGAAGAGAAGAGAAGAGAAGAGAAGATAAGAGAAGAGAGGAGAAGAGAAGATATTTGACAATTTAGATTGATATATATACATGTTAGAGTCAGTGTGTTTATTCCGGCAAGGTGTTATTTTTCAAAATATTGATTTTACCGGAAATATATTCCAGCATGTTTAGAAAATACGTAACTTGTGAATCGTAGATTCTCTTCTCTTCTCTTCTCTTCTCTTCTCTGATAACTTTTTCATCATTTATAAATTTTTATAAAAAAAAATATAGGGAAGAATTTAATAACAAATTATATTAAGTTTTAAAAAGTTCTTGGAAGGTATTCCCAGACATGACGGCATACATTTCCGGTAAAATCAGATTTTTAAATTTTAAAAAACGCGCTCAAAAAAATGACACATTGCCGGAAATGAACATATTGACGCTAATAATTATATATTGTTCTTAGTGACATAGTAAATAATAATAAATAAAAATATTGCAAATATATTAAAAAAATACTTATAATATAAAATTATTAGGTAAAAAAATACATTTAATGTAAATACATTTTATATTATAAAAAAAAATAGATACAAGTTCCGGTTCGCCTTGATTCTCAATTAAAACCATTCAGAAAAACAGCTGGGAGACCCCTATTTTTAGCTTTTTATTAAAATCTTATTTTAATAGAGAGATGACAGCTCAATATACCTAGTGTTGTTAAACGGCTTGATTTAAGCAGATTTTACGGCTAACTCAATATTTTAGTCAGAAAAATATTTTCTAAGCCTCAAGATTTCTCCTATAAGATGTTCAAGCCATTGTGCCACCTACGAGCAGAAATTTTCAGGCCTTGCTTAATACTTTTCTGGATTATATATATTGAGATATCGAATAAATTCTTATACGTATTCTTGAGAACAATAAAAACATTGTCGAATATTCTCATAAATTAAATTCTTTTTAAAATATTTTGAAAAATTGATTATTAAAATTTTTTAAAAGGTGATAAAGGTTTCGCAAGGAACATGTGATAAAACTTCAAGAAATGATTTTGAATATTTAGGGAAAAATTACGGATTTATTTTATGTTATTCGAATAATTTCGCGATCGAATAATAGCTAAAAAAAATTATTTGATAGATAATTTATTTTCATTATCGGTATTCGATTCGGTTATTCGTATTCATAAAATACGAATCGAATATTGAATAATTCGTTTTAAGTTTAGTTTATATTTATAAAGGTTTAAAGACGGACAGTTAATTTGGAATTTTATAAAAAGATATAAAGCGAGAGCTATGATGCCAGCCTAAAATCTTTAAATGTACACTAATTTTATCTCACTTTAGTCATCAAATCTTAAATAAATATATTTATATAGTAAAGTATAACACTGATGGGATTATGTAAGAGTGGCAATAATTTGAGAATTGAATGGATAAGTAAACCCAAGGGCATGGAGCGAAACGTTCTAGAAATGGAACGCGAGAAAAATCATAGAATGCTAAAGGAAACTGGAAGGGCAATTCCTTCCCGGAACAGTTTCTGAAAGGTTCTAAAAAAAATAATTTCAAATTATTTTTTATTATTTAATTTTGTAAATATGTTGAATTCCAGTTTGCTTCACAAAAACAATTATTATAACTATCTATTATTATAAAGTGATTTTAATATCATAAAAACATATTTTTTTAGGATAATAAGAATTATCATCTTTGAACTTCAACTTTTCAAATTTTCAGATATACTTAATTCCGATCAAGGAATAATAAAAGTAAAAGCAAAGGCGTTCTTGCAAATAATTTGTATAAAAATAATATTATAATTAAAAATTTCAGATTTTATAAATGGAATAATTTTGTTACCAAGTAAGTATTAAAAATAACAATCACCACCTTAAATATAAATAATTGTAAAATGAATGAATTGGATAGAAAATAAAATTGAATATCGTAGAATGGAAAGCACAATTTTTTTTATCTAGCCGGAATGGAAATGGAACACGACCGCAAAAATGCTTTTGTTCGGAGTTACCCGGTTAGGAACCCTAATTCCTACAATTATAAAAAATTTAATGGGAGGTGATTTGGGGTCACCAATTGATTATACTATTTGACGAATTTATAGGCTAAGTTCGTGCTAGAATTTTGTCCTACTCAATATTTTTAGGTTAATTAATTGTTTGTAAAAATTTTAATGAGAGATAAATACTGTGCTTTGAAACTTAAGGAATTATACACCAGATAAAAAAATATATACTGTTCCATTCATATTAGGGTCGAGGTTAAAAGCATAACCAACTCCTACTATGCAATATAAATACTAATTTTTCCATAATCAAGTTCAAATACCCTAAAATAAGTACATATTTTTGAAAAACTCAACTGATGGAATAGGGTAGAGGAAAATCTTTTATGGCTCATTTATATTATTTTTTAGATAACATTAATTCGTTAAATATCAACGATCAAAAAGGAATAAACATCTATGCCAGTAAAATGTCATTATGAGATTGTTTCAAAATTGTATTATTACTCTTAGATAAAAAAAAATGGGCATTTTAATAAAATATTTTCTTTCTAAAACCTAAAATATCCATTGGGGAAAAAAAATGGCTGCCTCAATATTTTAGCCAAAAAAAATATTGCCTAAGACTCGAGATTTTGCTAATAGAAGTCTAGATCTTTGTGTCATCTATGAGCAAAATCTTCAGGCTTGAGGAAATATTTTTCTGGATAAAATATTGAGTTAGCAGTCATTAAAAATCGGCCCAATGGGAATATATATATATATAAATTCCACTGGAACGTTAAAGAATAACGAAAATATTTTGCAAAGAAAGCTAAGGAAGAGACTAATGAATTATAAAGGAGTTTAATAAATAACCGGAAATGGTGATGAGGGAGTTTTTGACGACGTGGATCCACTTGCAAGGCCGCTCGTTTATTTGGTCCATAACCGTCTCGTGTAACTGATTCAAATTTAGGGTGTATACGCCTTCCTCGGCGCCCAGCAAGACATATTGATCTTGTTTAAAAAAAAATGATATTAAGATTAGAAAAAAAACTATGATTGATTTTTGAAAAAATAAACGTCTATATGTTGTAATAAATGGCGGCTCTCTATTGCCTGCTCATGTCCAAATGACTCAATATAAAAAAATGTTCAAGTTAAGGAGTTATAGTGCATACCAATTTAAGCGTTTCAAACGCTACGTTGCAAGGGCAAATAATGCATTTCAAATGGCTTCGCGCAAATTAGTAAAATTACCGTTTGGCGTTAGCAACCATTTTCAAAAAAAAAGCATAAGTTTTTTATTCTTCGCTTTGTAATATTTTATAAAATGTAATATATTAATAACTTACTTATATCCTAAAAAGGAATATTTAGAAATTAAAGAAATAAGAAGGCAGACGATAATTTAATTTTCAAGACAACTTATTTAAAATTTCGAATCGACGATATTTAATAAAAAGGCCACCTCAATTTAAAAAGGGAGGGACGCGTTAGGTTTTTTAAATTAAAAAATTACGGCAAAACGTAAACGCTCAATTTGTGTGCACTATTAGACAAACGGATTTATATATTTAACAGGGGCGGAGAGTGCGGTTGTGGAGTTTTGTATTTTATGAATAAATATTTTAAAAAAATTAGCTTCAAGGAAGGAATTTGTTAAAATAAAATTCAAAGTTTTTGTCTTTAATTTATTTAAGTGTCGAAACGAAATAAAAAAAGGTGTAGAAAAGTAACCCTTCTCAAAATCATCCAAATTTCTAGATTAAACCATTATTTTCTTCCGATACATTACCATTCAATAATTAAAAGTATTTTTCGATAAATATATTCATGTATGTATAAAAAAAAAAGTAAGTTTAATTATTTTATATCTTCGTTTTGAGGAAACCCTTATCCGTGGTCATTTAAGTTTAAAATTAGGTGGAATAATTGAGAATTGTGAAAGACAAATTTTTTTGATACAAGGACCAGTAGGGAAAAAAAAAGCATTACCCGACCTAAGTGTTATTAAACTGGTCGAATTTTCAAAAACGGCTAACCCAAATATCTTAGCCAAAATAATATTATGCAATCTTTGAAATTTTGTTAATAGATGGTGAATATTATTGATGAAATAGGCGATCGTATCCCATAAATATGCCTTTTACAAGCTTAGTGTTGTTAAACGGCTCGTTTTGAACCGATTTTTAAAAACGGCTAACTCAATATTTCATCTAGAATGATATTACTCAAACCTGAAGATTTTGTTTGTAGAAGGAACAAAGGTTTGGACATCTATTAGCGAAATATCGAGGCTTAGGCAATATTTTTCTGGCCAAAATATTGAGTTAGCAGTTTTTAAAAATCGGCTCAAAATGAGCCGTTTAACAACACTATACAAGCCCAATTTAAAAATAGCCAATCAAACTAAATTTATCTAAGCAGTGGGGTAGCCACCGGGGGGGGGGGAGATTAAGTAACTATTCAATATTCAAATTAGTAGCTCAAAAAAAATACATTTTAGATATAAGGTGTTTGTTGAAAATGAATATTAAAATTTTTTTGATGTTTATATTACTGGAAGGAAAGACATCATTAATGAATTTATACCAATTATTCTGTATAAAGTATCCGAAAATTTATTAAATTCAATCATTTTATTAAAGCCATTGGTAATACTCTTTCAAATTATTATTAAAATTGTTAATACATGTTCTAAAAATGTATTAAAATAATCATACAAAATAAAATAGCGTCCATATACTACATTCCGGTGTTTATATTTTTGTAAAAAAAAAAAATACTATTGAATTTTCATCGATTTCTACAATGATAATCATGTATTTGGTTAATATTTTATTATCCTTTTTTTGTCAATAAAATAATTAAATAAAGAAATTAACTACCAAAAATGTCAGTTATCATAAAATATCAAAAAATGACTGAGTCAGCTCAAACTTTCAAAGGGGAAATTCAGATGCTCACATAACTATCCAATCTAAAAGCGATAGCGGCCATAAATAATGGCAAGTATTTACACGTAGAAAGGTAGGGAATGCCATTAAGAGGCCACCAAAAAAAAAATAGTGGGAAACTCAGTAGTAAAATTTTTAGTTAATGAGGATAACTTAAAAGAGCTACTATAATCCTAATTGTCATCTAGGTAGTGATGCTACCAAAATAATATTCGACAATGTGGGTAACAAATGCCTCGTATATTTCTCTAGATATTCAAACATGCGCAACAATTATATAATTCAAAAATTAGATTTAATCTTTGCAATGGCAGACGAAACAACCGATATTTGAGAGCCAACAGCAAATGTCTTTGGCCATAAGATTTATTAGACCTGGATTGGATATAAAAAATTAATGAATTTTTACTACATTATTCCGCTCAAAGATGTTACAGGGCAACGCAACATAAGAAAAAGAAAATATAATTAGGAATCCTAAAAAGGAACAATAGTTAAAATAATCAAGAGTGCCCTTAGTCTATGTGCAATGTGAAGAGCATTCTCTAAATTTAGTTACTTCCAAAAGCCTATGGAGATTTAGGAAATCGATAATAGCCTTGAGTAAATAATTATAAATATAATTCTATCAAAAATTATTGAATTTTTTAAGTTCTTTGGGGAAAAGTATTGAAGAGGACTCGAAAAATGTCGGCGGCATTTGTTTTTGCCTCAGTTTCCTCAAATAATCTAAGATGTTTCTGTGCAAGTGTATTATGCATATAATACGCGTCGGGGGAAATTGATTTTATTAATGGATCAAGATCTTTAATTGATCAATCCATTTAACTTATAAAAAATGTAGCATAATTATTTTATTTAAATGCTATCAAAGGCAAAAAAAAGCCTAAAAAAATTGTGTGAAAAAAAAAAGGAATTTCACTATAAATGCGCTTACATTTTACCATATTTTATAAATATATTTTTCTCTGTTCCTTTACAAAAACTGATATTATTATACAATATTTAGCAAAAAAAACTGATCAGGTCAAGATTTATTAATATCACCTGAGCACTTATTATTCCTTACTTCAGTAACAAGGATTTTTCCTTGGAGCCCGTGTCAAAAAAAATGGTACAATTATGGAGAGAGAGGGTCTGAGGTATTTACCCAGAGAGCGGGTTCTAAGATTCACAACGTAAAATGTAAAAAAAGAATCTATAGGAATATTCCTAAAAATATTAACGGAACAGTTCGCCCGTAACTAGAACGGAAGTCCAGAAGTCCTTGTTCCAGACTATTTATAACAAACGTATTATAATCGTAATATCTGCAAAAAAAAACACCTCTTGTTTCAGGGTGGATCCATGTCGACGTGCAATTGAGATTCAATGGGCACCCATTAAAAACTTTCGAAAAACAAGCTCCCATGTGGACCTTGGGCGTAGGCGGTAAACCGTTATATTCCGCCGCCACCTAACCAAAAAAATATATTTATTATTATTATTTAACATTAACATTAGGAATTTTCTAGAATATAATGTAGTTCCCCTATGCAAAAAAACTTTGGGATATTGCATCACTCCCCACCCTCTCCACCCACCTCTCAATAAAAATTTTCTTAGCTTTACTGAGTAATTGGAATTATTTTTCCAGGCAAAACTGTATCAGTAGATAAAAACAAATTTCGATTCACGTCTCATTCGATAGTTCAAATATTTTGGCGAAAAAAAATGATATTGTGGAGTACAGTTATTGTTATACGGCTTGATTTGAGCCGATTTTTAAGAAATGACTAAATAAATTCTTTCTTCGCAAAATTTAGAACCACGATCGCATTAAACTATCGCCCCATTGTATGAAAAGTAAGTTGCGAATGGGAAGATCGCGCAGCCAGAATGATGCACCAATGTTAGAAAAGCCGGCAAATAAATAATATTGAGGAGATAGATTGATCGAAGAAATGTTAAAATTTTAATATGAAATTTCTATTTTTGATGTTGATTAAAATAGTTGGTAACTTATCACTTAGATATACGCAACATCCTAATGTCAATGTTCATTAATGAATATCTAACCGTAAAATACTTCAAAACATATATAATTCTTTCTTTCTTTCTTTTTTCTTTCTTTCCTTCCTTCCTTCCTTCCTTCCTTCCTTCCTTCCTTCCTTCCTTCTTTCTTTCTTTCTATAATATTTTTTTATATTTGTTATATTCTTTCTTTCATATAGAAGTTGTAATTATTACTTGGGAACGATTTCTATCCATTTTTTTTCTGCGAGGTGGGACAGGGGGAGGAATTGCATTGAGATCTATATCCGAATCGTATTCAGGCTTATGGTTCTCGACGGGGTGAGAGTTTAGTAAATTCGAAGCGTTTCCGGTAGCTTTCGAATTTTGAGAACACGCTTCCGAGAATTTTAATTCCGCGCTGTAAGGGGTCGTTAGGGCGAGAACGTGGTCGGGAAGCGTATAAGGGTTAGATAGGCACGAACTTTCGTAACCGTTTGATAGGGAATCGAGAATTGCTTTGTTATCTTCGGTAGGTTCCGTGCTCTCGGAGAGATTGAATCCGGAGTAGGATTCGTGATTATTGTACAAGATGGTGTTGATGGAATGGTCAGCTGCGAAAAAATCTTTTTTCATCTCCTTACCTAATCAGCCAAAAGAAGGCGCGTTAAAAGAATATAATTTTACACCATAAATTTGTGGAGTATACATTTTAACACTATCTCTTGTTTATAACATTTTCAAAATATTTTAATATTATGTTGAGTTGATAAGTGCACACCCTTTTTTTAAAAAAAAATGATGACTAACAAAACAAAGAAAATTGAAAAGTGAATTTTTTTGGTTATTTGTTTATTTTTAAAAATAGCGGGCTGTTTATTAAAAAAAATAAATTATATTTATCCAAACCATAAGACCTTCATGAGCCATGTCGACCTGTGGCCCATAGACCTAATATTATATTTTCTAGCGGGCCTGTGTAAGGCCCTGGATTTTGAAAAAAAAATGTAATAGTCTAGGGGCTTAAAAAATCCGAAAAAAAATTCGGTATTGGCAAAACAAAATTATCGGCTAAATATACAGAAATATTGTTTATTTTCAATGAACACAACAAATATATGGGATTGTGTGGGGCTAATAAAAAAATTTTGAAATTTGGATCGGCATTTTTTTAAATATTAAATATGAGCAGGGCCGGATCTATAAATTTTTTTTTACTGCGGGCCTGACCGGCCTGATCAGAAAATCAAGGACCGATGAAGGTGTCGAATTCAAACTAGAAAAACCTCCAGTGGTAACTTTAACGAGGTTAATTTTTTTTTGTTATAATATTATAAAATAAATTGGCTTACTAAAATTAAATTTCTTGGAACCCTCTAACATCCCGATCATTCTCCTGACGTTATTAAAGCCTTCCAGCGTGGAATTCATTTTACCCATTTCTTCGGACTCATTTAAAGAAGGGTTCGAAGAACCATTCAATTTGGCTATAGGCGAAATATTACCCTCTTCCGGTAACGAGGAAAGCGTAACGATGGGAGGTGGCGGAGGCGGGGGCGGTAATCTAGGCGGCGCTTGACTACATATTATATGAGGGTTGTTGCTAGTTTTAACCTGGTTAGGGTTGACCCGAGAAAAATTGGATAAATTCTTCTTTTTGACTAGGCGGGAGGGTCGCGGTGGGATCAAACAACCGTTTGTTTCGACTTTAGCACGAATCGCGGCTGGAAAATTATTCTCTATATGCGAGGCTGAATATAAAAAAAGGATTTTTATTTAAAAAAAATCAATATTCGATTTTTCAAAAACTCAAAGGTAAAAACTATTTAAAATGCGATTCCTCATAAAAAAAACTTTTTATGTCCAAAATCTTTTTCAAAAGTTTTAAAGCTTTAGCAAATTTTAAAAATTCGATGAAATCATATGTTAAACTTCTGAAATTTATAAATTATGTTATTTGTATATTTAAAATAGCTTATTTATTTAAATTCATTTAAGGTTTCGAAAGTTTGAGAGTTTAAATTTTTGATATTTCGGACACAGCCTTCAATAACCCTAATATTTAAGGCTAACTAGAAACCCCAAGAATAATAAGAAATCCTAAAGATTCTCCCAAAATATACTTTGTTCGCCATTTTCTGCACTCGATGAGGTAAGCGGAGTAAATCTTACGGATTTGCTTATTCTAACTTCTTTAGGCTCTGCGGATGATAGAATGTCATCATTTTCTTTATCGACGACGCTAAGCTGACAAGGTAGCTTCCAGTTCACGTAGTCGTTCTTGCGCACGTTGGATCCGTCGCGCCCATTGAGCGCCTCTCTTTCGATATTCAAGAGCAACTTCGATTGATTTTTCCGATTGTTGGGCAGTATTTTGCTGAGGTAAGCGGAAAAGGAGTCGAACGAAAGGTCCGGGTAATTGGAGAATGATATGATCTTGTTTCCGGGATTATTGGCGTTGCTTGAGATAGAGACGCGCGTTTTTTGCAAATTTTGCGGCTGCGAATTTTGCGAATTATTTTTACGGAGATCGTTGACGAGAAGAGGGTGGTGATGATTGTCGTTAGATTTATGTTTAAGACCCGGGGAACGAATCTCTTCGCTACCCGAGGAAGATAGGACCGAGGCGGACGAGGTCGATGATTTGGATATTGAGCTGTTAAATATAATTTTCAAAAAAAAAAATTTGCCCAGTTTATGTATTTATTTGATATCATGACTAAAAAATGGATAGGAAGATAAGTTATGCAAAATTTTGGGATGGTAGAAAACAAAATAAAGGCCCCTAGATGAATGAATGACATGGATTGATCTATATTATTTATTTTATTTTTTTTTGAAGGAAGTGAGAAATTAAGAGGTTATTAAACACGGTTTAAAAAAAACTTTAATGAACGAATATTTAAATATATAATAAGAAAAATCATCTAGGTTTACAATAGAAGTGGGGGGGGGGATTAAAACTTTATAATAAATACCTTTCAGGTTCTTTGGTCGTTAACGTTTTGATACCATTAGTGAGGCTGCTTTTAAAAATTTAATAGAGTCATATTAATGCTAAAATGATAAACATTTCTTTCTTACTTTTTTTTCCCTTCCTTCCATCCTTCCTTTCTCTTTTTTCTTACTTTCTTTTTTATGTTTCTATCTATTTTTTTTCCTTAGCGATAGGCAAAATTGATAAATTTTAAATAAAATGATTTTTAAAAAAAAAAAATACTTTTCTTTACCTTTCGTCAGAAATTACCCGCATTTGACATGGGGATATTATCTTAATAAAATCATATAATAAATTACATTTAAATTGAGATTGGTGAGTAGTACGCCTACCAATAATTTTTAGCAAATAGCTATTTATTTTAAACGACAAATTAAATCTTATTGTCTAGTGTCGTTAAACGGATCGAATCGGAGGCTTGATCAAAATTTTAGCCAAATAATATTATGTATGCTTCGAGGTTTGACAAATAAATGTCCAACCCTTTCTGCCCATCTATAAACAAAATCTCCTGATATAATATTATTCTGGTCAAAATCTTAATCGGGCCGTTTAACCAACATCTATCTATGTACTTTATTTAGCGCGTATAGTTTTAATAATCAGTGAAATCTGAGATGTTAGATAATAAGGGGGGGGGGGTTAACAGTATTCGGAAGTTTGCATTTCTCCCTAATCCGAAATATTATTGAATCGTAATAAGAACTCATGCATCTATGATTATCCCTTAGATGATATCTATATTTAGGGCATTCGCTAAGAGTTCCACTTCTATAAAAGTGTTAAACAGATGAAAAAAATTGAATCTGTGGGTTCATTTGCTAAAAGGGGTGGGGGTGGGGTATGTAAGTCCCCACACACATTTCATTAACTTTATTCTTTAAACAATATGCTCTGTATCAATTGACCAGGATTTTATGTTGAGTTCTAACTTGTTGGGTTAGGATGGATAATATATCGCGCTAGTAATCTCTTCATAAGCACCTGTTTAGGGTGACATGGCTACAGCTCTGTTTTCATACCTCTTGGTAAAAATAGATTATGGATAATTAGGAAGCTGTAGTTGTTACCCATTAAATCTCATAGAATCTAAAGATTCAAATAAAGGTTTCCCACTAAAAATTTGTCAAATATGCAAAAAAAATCATTTATATATATCATCGCCAAAATGGGGTGAAAAACTTAATCCAAAAAACGCAACACAATCGATTTAAAAAGTAGCAAGTACTATAGGGGGAAATAATATATAAAAAAATCAAATTTCAACTTTTCTATTTCATCAGGTGAAAACAAGTATATTAACGAACATACTTAGGGTGGTAAGACATAAATTAAATATATCTTATAAAACGATTCTAAGATTTCCTTGTTAAAATTTTTACAAGTGCACAGAACCTTTAGTAAAATGTGATAAAAATATTTCATGAGGAGGAAATCCAGATGCATTAAAGGTTTTTATTTGTGCATCAATAAAATCCCATCAAAATCTCTTAAAAATTTTAATAAATTTTTTTTTTAAATTCTCAAATTTGGGCAAACGATAAAAAATTTTTATCATTTTAAAATACCGTCTGCTTTTAATTTATAAATAAAACATTTGAAATGCTCTTATTTTATTATTTTACCCAAATAAATGATTTGAAGAACTGGCCAAAATAAAAAGAAATTATAACTATATGTAATGGAATATTCAGCACAAATTCCTTAAAAGGTAAAAAAATTATTAAAGAGAATGACTTAATTAATGTTTAGTTATTGTTGATTGAAAAAAACTTACTTCTAAAATATAAGGTTCAATACAACTTTCATTCTTTAAAAAAATTAATTAATGAATCAATATTTATTAAAAATCTTTTATTTTGTGTAAAATTGGACTTCTCTTTACACTTCAAACTTAAACCGACTTTAGATCAATCTGAATATATTAGAATAGACTTATATATATCACAGCGGTTACAGTATTTCAATTTATTTGCCTTTAAAGGGCAAACCAGGAAGTTAAATTTAAAATTATAACTAACTGAAGTAGCGGAGACACTTATTTTTTAAAAAAGTAGGCAGTTGTCTCAAGCTATATTATAGCAAAGTTATTTTTTAGATTAGCAAACTTTTTTTTTATCAAATATCGTTAGTTAGCAGCATTGAAAATTGGCATTATTTAATATTAAAATAATATATTTTATTTTTTAAAAAATAAAATAACCTCTTCGAATTCAACATCCGTTTGTTTCTGCAAAGGGGGACAAAACTTCAAATTTTCCACTTTTAGGCGATGCAAAAAAATAAAAAATACAATTAAAACGCTGTATAAACTTAATACGATTTTAATTTATTGAATTAATGAGATATAAGGATTTAAAAAATGAACCAAATAAAAGGAATATTTATAAAAAATCATAGCTCATAATATTATAAGGTTCCAACTCAAGCACCGGTTGTAGTTGAGAACTGAATTAGGATCAAAACCTTATCAACTTTTCATTTTAATAAAACAAAATTAATATCAATTTTCTTTTTCAATGTATTCATTTCAAGCAAATGACACGACGAATTTTTTTTAAAAGATGGTTTGCTGTAAAATTGATCTAGGTATGGTTAGAACCCTATACTATCGAAGTGAAGAAATATTAAATGGGATAAATTAATATATTTATAATATAAAAGGTGTACAGAATCAATACCCAGAAGTTGCCAAAGAAAAATTATTTGAAGGTTGTAAAGGGACATGAAATGTTTTAAAAAAGTTATAAAGGCGATGTTCAGGATTGTCTAATTATGAGGAAAAGAATAGATGGGGGGGGGGTGACTGGAAAATATCTATCTTAATAAGAAAAAAGTCATGATGAGGTAAAATCAATCCACGCAAAAAAAAATAGAGATGAATGACAATTAAATGATTATTAAGAAGAAAAAAAAATGGCAAACTTTCAGCTTCAGACTTGGTTCTGAGTTCCCTGCACAATCCGTTCGGCGCTTGATGAGAAGTTATACGCCTTGGTACGCTTAAATTGGGCGAATACTTAAGAATAAAAAGAAGAAGAAGAAGGAACAAATTTAAATGAATAGTAAGAATAATAATTCTAAAGCCCGCCATTAATTATTTAATTATTAGCATTTACATCTTCGTCGGTGTCACCCTCCTCCCTAATGTCGGAGTACGTGATTTTGCCACAAATTCGATCTTTAACATGCTCCTCACCCGCTTTCAGGGATGCGCTATCATTTTTGCTCCCGTTCTCGTTATTCGAAGGTTGGTCGGAAGGATGGGGCACACTAGAATTGCGGCGATTGTTAGTGATAGAGACTGGGTTGTTGACTTTGTCCAGGAGATCTTTACCCAATTTTTTGCTCAAGCTAGGGTTCCTGACAAATGAATGCTTTTTTATGGAAAAATAAAATCTAAATAGGTATTTCCCTTTCCTAGGGACAAATTAAAATTAGATTAAAGGTTATCCTATAATAATAATCTCCCTACCCAACACTCCCACATATTTATCCTTCGCGCGTTTATTATCTCTTAATCTCAGGGTAACAAAAGATGCCAACTTTTCCCAAAACTTGATGAAGGCATAGTTTAATGTATTTATAACATTTCATTGTGGTTGCTACGTTACATAAAAAATATATTGAACATTACGATTACATTAACTTGGGTAAATAAATTTTAGACTATTTTAAATATATATTATTATACTTTTAATTTATGCAGATGTAACTAAGATAACTTGATGATTTAAACAGGTTTAAGGTTAATTTTCATACAACTAAGCACTTTCTTTCTTTCATTCATTCTTTTTTTCATTCTTCATTCTTTCTTTCTATGTCGTTTTAGAATATTGGAAGAGACCTTGACGATCTGATAACTTTTCCTTTTCCTTTATTCCCTTTCTTCCTTAATAAATAACCCTGCAAGATTGAAAAAATTTAAAAATGCTATAATATAGTGAAATCTTATACACGAAACCTTACCATTAATAATTTGTCAGCCGCTGGTCTTTTTCTCGGATTTTTAGTGAGGGCTATTTTGACGAAGTTTTGAAATACAGCAGACCTATGAAATTATCAAAATTTTTTAAAAAAAAAACACATTTAAACTAATCTCAAGTCATTTTGTTTTTAATGAAAAAATAATTTAAACATTCTCTTTAAGCATAATAGTAGTGTTGTTAAACGATTTGAGCCGATTTTTAAAAACGGCTAACTCAATATTTTAGCCAGAAAAATGTTACGCAAAGACTGAAGATTTTGGTCATAAATAGCTCAAATGTTTATACATCTATTAGCGAAGTCTCGAGGCTTAAGCAAAATTTTCCTGGCTAAAATATCGAGTTAGCCTGTAAAAAAAATTTCAATATAATTTTAACCTTTCTTCATTTTTTTTTTAAAAAAAATTATATCATATTTTTAACAATAATCATGGATAAATTAAACAATTTAATAAGAAAGTCGTTAAAATATATATATAAATGTTATATAAAAAAATATATTAATACTTGTATACTATTTTAGACAAAAATTAGGTTAAAAAATATTTGAAAAAATAAAACATTTATGCATTAAATTGGTTGCGACGCATTAAATTGGTTGCGACGCATTAAATTGGTTGCGACTAAAAGTTTATTATATTCTAAAAAAAATAATAATTAAGCATTAAAAAAAAAATTTCCAAAATGTAAATATTCTTACCATCTTATTTTGTCTTTCAGGCAGGGTGGCTTAAATCCGCTTTTGGACATAATGAATAACGCTCTAAATATTGTTTAACAAAAAAAAATATTTTATATGTTATTGTTGAATAATAATTAATTCTCTTGCTTTATAATCAGGGTTTTTATTTGAGGTTCAAAAGTGTTGGGGTTACCTTAGCGAATACCAGTTATATATACTATTCGCCTATATTCCAGCCATTGGATCTCTTATACATATAATAGGGAGGCAAACGATTTAATTGGCTAGAAATTAGGTGCTTAAATAATTCTTATAAAGATGAGTTATTAATCTCGTAACTATTGACCGGTTTACCCTAAATTCAGAGTTAGCGGCGAATTATACAAAGCTGTATTTTTGTATTCTTCGAAACTAATTTTGTGTACTTCGCCGCGAATTTTGCGTTAATTGCGAGTTCGGCAAACCTTTGTTAGGTCTCATCAGTATATCATAACTACTTTTGATATCATTGTAAAGTATATGAATAAAATATATTTTCCCACAATGCGCCAAAAATTATATACAACATTCGTTTAATATGTTAGAGATCTATCAGGAATTTTATTTTATATAAACAAATCAAATCATTTTTAAAAAAAAAAGTAAGTCAAAAAAAATTTATATTTTATTTTTGAAACCATTTCATTGACTGTAAAAAAGTCCAAATTTTTGAAAAAATATGTAAATTCGTTTAAAATAAAATTTGTAATATATATGTAAAACAGGGAAAAAATTTGTCAAAATAACGAAAAATAATTTCTCATAAAAAAAAATGCGAAGATTTAAACGATTCGTCATGAAAATGAAAAGGGATATATAATTTATATATATAAAAAAACCTCATGGGATGTAAATCGAACATAGGGGGTTGCAGTTCCGCCAATTCGATGGCAGTGATACCGACCGCCCAAATATCGCATTGCTGGTTATAACCACCTTTCCTTTCCACCGCGGCCACCTCTGGAGCCATCCTGTACATGTGCGTGTTATAAGAAATAATTTAACTAATAAACATTTCATTTTTAAAAAAAATATATATTTGTTCAATATGTATAAAAATTAAAAACACGTGTTTTGGACGAATCGCTCTCCCCCTAATCCGCCATGTTAAATTATGTGATAGGAAAAAAAAATGAGAAAATTACGATGGGTGAAAATTAAGCGAATAAATGGCTTATAAATTCGACGACAATTTTAGAGATCCCGTTTAGGATCGGGTGGCTAAAACTAAATAAAACTTAAAATTAAAATATATATAGTTTATAATCAACAAGGAAGATGGTGGAGTGAAATCTGTCTTATTTCGGCACCGTTTGCTACAGAAGTTTTTGCCCAAATTAGGTAGTTGCACAATTTATCAAGGCATTTTTTTTAATACATAGTAGCAATAGGAATTTGATTGGAACTCTAAATTTTAGTCAAATTAGGGAACTGCCAGAATTATCAATATATTATGAAAGTTTCACTGTATTATAATTGAGTTCCCACAATCAAATTTTAAATTTTGTTCTTACGCCCAATTAGAATACGTAAAATTTTTTGGGATTCATTTGTGAGGTCCCTAATTTTTTAACTTTGAATTATAAAGTTGAAAAAATTTCTAAAGTATATACAATGACATATCATATATACCTAGACTGATGCTGCATTCATTAAAAGTATATACCAATGAAAACAGCCGGGGATGTCATTTTGATTACCCATATCATTATTAAAAAATTTAAACGAGAGGCCAATTTATTCCTATGTCTGACCCAAACTTTATTAAAGAATTGTCTGACCATCGAGATAATAAGGAAGCAAGTTGTCAATTTAATAGTAGTTTTTAACATGAGAATAATTACTATATAGGTTACCAAAATGGCGGGTCCAGCTGCTTTCAAATGCATTATTATGAATGCATCGTCAGTCTAGGTAATATTATAATGACTAAAGGAGTAAATAAGTATCTTAATTTTTCTATTAATTTTTTTTTAGATTCCGTTAAAGTAAACGGATTAATTGATAATAATGTTGGGAAAGTCACGAAATGTGTTTCAACTTTCATCAAGCCAACTAATTTCTCTACAGATGAATGACGCATTAAAAACAGATGGGTTAATCACAGTCCCATTGATTCTAGGAAAATTTCCTAATGGGGATTTTATTTTACTTTCGTATATCATCTTTCGTCATTAAATATTAAGAGCAATCTTTACTTTAGCAGAGAATCTAGAAAAATTAAATATCAAAAAATTAACAAATTATTAATTCACTCCTCCAACAATCATATCTACTTCAAGAACTTTTACACCATCAAAAATAAGGAACCTCAACAAAATGATTCCAGGGAATTTTTATATCATATGTAAAGAGATCCGAGTAGAATTTCTAGATTAAATTATCGCTTATTTTTAAGGAACTCAATTTATAAATATGTATATTTTTTAAAAAATAATATTTGTTATTTTGACTTTTTAAATTGTTTTCTTTTAGATTTTATATAAAATCTACATATTGTTGATATTTGAAAAAACAATATTATTTTTTTTACTAACCAATAAGGAGTGCCTATAAAGGATTTTCGTTTGCACAGAGTTTGGGTTATCTGAGCGGAGACCCCGAAGTCGGCTAAAGATGTTTGTAGATTTTTTGAAATATTAGAATAAATTTAGATAATAATCAATTTGCAAAAAAAATAATAGAAGGTAAAATCATCGATATCTAAATCTAGTTTAATTTAAACATAAAAAAGGGATTAATTTTTTTATTTTAAAAATATTTGTTCAATAAGCGATAAATTAGTCATACTTAAATTAATATAATATTATTTGGGACAAATGTTTAGGTTTAGAATAACTTTACAATTATGATCAATTATCTCTACCCATATTTCTCATAACATTATTAAATATATAACTAATCACGCAATAAATTAGACGCGAGCCTTTCGATATACATATTGACGGCAAAGTTTTAGAGTGTTCTACCTCCATTTTTTTTTAGAAAAATTATTCAAGTGAGTAATTTTTTTTTTTTTTAAATGGATTACTTGCATTATACAATGTTAAATAAATTACTTATCCTCAATTATATTTTAACAATTTTTTCCTATAAGAATATAGGTATGCCGTGTTCTGGGTAGACTTAATTTTGATACCAAATCGCTTTTTAGGGTAAACTAAAAGACTTTTGAACTAGGACACCCTATTTTAGTTTATTTTAAGTATTTAAAGGCGTTTTTATTTTCCGTAATTTATTTTCTTTTTTTGGCTATTTGGTAAATAAGTCGACCTAGGAGACAGCCTGAATAATTCATTTATCAAAAAAAAAGTGAATATAGAACACTTTAATACTCAACCGATTATATATAAAATTTGCGTTCATAAAAAAATACCTAGTTTAATTTCCCCATCGTCGGTTAACAATATATTGGCTCCCTTCATTATTCAATTGTTTTCACGAATCGCAAAAACCGAGTAATTTGTTTTTGTTTTTTTTTATAAAAAAATAAATTAATTAAAATTAAAATATTCCACTAGGAATTCAGCAATTTTAATAATATTAATAAACTGATCGTGGATGCAGTGTTATTAAATGGTTTAGATTTAACCGATTTTAAGCTAAGATTTTAGCCAAAAAATAGTAGGCATGCTTCTAGATTTTGCTATCTTTCTACCATCTGTGAGCGCAATTCCAGGCTTGAGGTAAATATTCTTGGCTAAAATAATTGGGCGCGCCGTTTTTTTTTAAAATTCGAGCTGTTTAATAACACTGCATGGACGACTTTTAACAGCTCATCATTGAGAGCAAATTTTTTTTTAAATTTATGGTTAGAGGTAGAGATGGCAACAATGTCAAACTAATCATTATAATATTTAAAATAGTAAGAGTGTTTATTAATATAATATTATAACGTAGATATAGTAAAAAGGAAGGAAGAAAAAAGTAATTTAAAATATCCGAGCAAACCTTTATATCCCGGTGCATTTTACCCCGATTGTGCAAATAATTTAGCCCCTTAAGAGTTTCTCTACAAACGTAAGCTATCTGTAATTCGTTTAAATGTCCGATCACTTTAAAATTTAATGGAGAGAAAAAAAAAGAAAGAATATAATAGATTTTAGGCATATATATTGCATTTATTTTAAACTTTCTAGATTTAAAAAGCAATAATATTCCAATTCCATCAATTTTTACAGGAGAGATTTTTTTTAAAAAAACACTATTGCGATCAGGCTAACACTGTAAGAAAGTAAGAAGTGGTGTTGTTAAACGGCTCGTTTTGAACCGATTTAAAAAAAACGGCGAACTCCATATTTCATCCAGAAAAATATTACGCAATCCAGAAGATTTTGCTCATAGATGGAACAAAGGTCTAGGAATATATTATCGAAATCTCGAGGTTTAGGTAATATATTTCTGGCTATGAACCGTTTAACAACACTGGTAAGAAGTATAATTTTTATCATTATACACTATATTGAGTTTTGTTTTAATGTATTTATAAAGTAAAATAGCAAAGAGGTAAAAGCTTTCTTTCTTTCTTTCTTTATTACGACTTAAGTTAAAACCAAAAGTGGAGAAAATAGAAAGAAAAATAAAATTACCATTAGTTAGTGGTGTTGATTAAACGAGCGGCTCGATGTCGCCGATTTTTAAAAACGGGTTAATTCGAGATTTTCGCAAAAAATTATATCATCTTAGCTACGTTAATTCCCGTTAATAGATTTTCTCTGTAAACAAAATCTCTAGGCTCTAAAATCTTGAGTTAACCATTTTTTAAAAAATCGACTAAATTCGAGGGTCCTTTAACAACACATTACCATTAGTATAAACGAGTGTATTTTGATAATTAAATAGTCTCTTCTCAATTGATAATTAAAATTTTAATATTTAATATAATATACAATAAACAGTAATTTCTCCGGCAAATGGGTTACAATTTTCATTTAAACTTAGAAATCATTTGTTGAATCGGGTTAATTTTCAAAGTTGAAAAATCTTTTATATAAAAAAAAAATTGTGCATACAATGGTAAATGTCCTGCAGCGATCCACCCCCGCAATATTCCATACAAATCCACAATTTATCGCGTCTATTAATAATAATAATAGTAAAGAGATATATATATATATAATTTGAGAGAAGTAACTTTAAAACAAGAGTGTGAATAATATTATTTTTTTACCAGTAAAAGTAAAAATAAAATTAATATTCGTTATATCATTATTTTTCTTGATCAGTTAGATTTTTTTTTATAATTGGAATTTGGCTAGTGTAGTGATAGAAGTCGTTGATTATCCTAAAAACAATTTTCCTTTTCCGCAAATATCTCATGGCGTTTGATGCCCAGAAGAGGAACAAGGAAATGCTCTTAAACATATCTTTTGAACGAGGTTAGGGCAGGTTAAATTAAAAGGTAAGAGAGATTTTTTAACTATAAATGCCCGAGATAAACCGAAAATTTATGCACTCTTTAGCCTTTATAATTTAAGTTTTAAAGGTATAATATTAAGGGTTGGCAAATCGGTCAAATTCAGTCAACTGACCGGAAGAGTATTTGACCTGATCAAATACGGTCAAATACTCTAAAAAATTAACAATATTTTTGATAAAAATGAAAAAACGATATAAATACATGTGATCACAATTCTGCTTATTCATTGGGTCCCCAAGTGGAATATCTTACTAGAAGTGAATTTAATGAAGTAGGTGATATAATACAAGAATTAGGCATTTTACAAGGTGGTGATGATCAAAATATTTCAATTGATAATAAATTTCAGAAGTAAGAGCGGCATGAGTAACTTCCTTTAGAAATTCTTACCACAAGTTAGTGGAATGGGCTTTAATGCCCATGAATAGAAGTGGCATTTTACTAGCAATTCCTATTTCTACATCTTCTCCAGAAATAAATTGGCCGAGATTGGGTTAATATTCTTACTAACACAAAGATTTCGACAACAGGAAAACTGATTAAAAATATTGAAGAAAATGATAATATTGTTGAATATGAATAAGAACAAGACTCTGTCAAGGAGAGTGAAAATTTAGTTATTAAATGACAATGAATTTAAAAAATATTAAAAAATTAATATTATAGATTCAGTTTGCTATTATATATATAAAAAAAGGAGTAAATTGTCTTAAAAACAATTATTTCAATGACCATATATAATCGTTCAAATATCGGTCATTTTACCGAATCATATTTGACCGGTTAAATAAATACACAACCCCAATAAAAATCTTCTTCATTTAATCTAATATTAGATCATCGCCCGCAACTGGACGGAACATGGCGCACTTGCAGTACAACTGGAAAAAAAAAATTTTTAGGAACTAGTCTTAGGCCGAATCATATTTACAATAGCCTTGGCGACTAAACGACGAAAGAATGGCCCTATGGCTATGGGTCTAACGCCACCATTCGGTTTGGTTAAAGAAACAAGACGTGCGCCAAAAATAATAGGACGAATACAAAGAGAGGAACTTCGCATACGAGGATATTATTGCAAAGTTCGGTTAATGCTTTCAGCAAAGGGTCAATGAAGCCACTATCAGAGCATTGAATTAAATCCACAAAAAAACCAGGTCTGAAGCCGTCCAACCCACCTGTCGTCTCTTTTTTAAAGGACTTTAAGCTCTTAAGTACTTCATCACAGGTAAAAGGAATAGGGGAAGAGGCAGGGTGAATGTTAAAAGGGGACGCTAGTGGATGTTTTTCAAGAAGTTGTTTAAATATAGTAACGTTGATAGGTGAAATAGAATCATCGGAAGACAATATTCGGGCAGCACTGCTAATATCTCCAAGATCTAATTTTTCAGAGATCAATTTGCAACGGAAGGAGTTGGGATTTAAAGAGTTAGATGGAGAGAATTCATCGATAATCGTATTTCCAAAATTGGACACTTTTTCCTTAATTGAGGCAGATAAGTTATTTATTTTATTTTTGGGTTTAACTAGGACTCGAAAACAAAAACTAACCAGGTCTAACCATAAGGGTAGTGAGGAGAAATCTGAATTCAAATTATTTATAAGTGACGCGAGGAACCTTGAGATAGACTCTCGAGCGGCTATAGGGATCCTAGAAAGAACTGGGGGCTTATGCGAATTAAGGAATAAATCAACAGAGCTTGAGGAACAAGGTGGACTGGGGTCATACGAGTGAGGAGCGAAAAGGATCTGGGCCGTAAGAGAGGGAAAATTTTCCAGAATTGTGGCAAGCGGGTGAACCATGCTTCCTAAACACGCCATTTAAATTAAGCGAAATTATTTTTAAGCATACTTGACAACAAGAGTTAACCATGGGATGGCTTTGAAAGGGAGAAATCTGTTGATTTATTCCTTAATTCTCATAAGCCCCCAGTTCTTTCTAGGATCTCTATAGCCGCTCGAGAGTCTATCTCAAGGTTCCTCACGTCACTTATAAATAATTTGAATTCAGATTTCTCCTCACTACCCTTCTGGTTAGACCTGGTTAGTTTTTGTTTTAGAGTCCTAGTTAAACCCAAAAATAAAATAAATAACTTATCTGACTCAATTAAGGAAAAAGTGTCCAATTTTGGAAATACGATTAACGATGAATTCTCTCCATCTAACTCTTTGAATAATCTTAATCGGGCCGTTTTGAAAAATCGACCCAAAATCGGGCTTTTTAAACAACACTGGCCAATTTAAAATTTTATGGGAATTATGCAATTTCTATCTTTCAGATAAAAAATCTCAAAATTTTCATATTATAAATAATAACTAATTATGATAGTCTGGCAAAGTAAATTTAATAAAAATTAATGATGTATACTTTTTTACTCGTAAAAAAATGATTAAAATAATGGAGAAAAAAAAAATGTTTTTAGAGGGCAAATAAATTAAAAGACTGAAAAGAAAATATTATGTTTTTTTCCGGCAATGTAATATTTTTTTTGACTTTTAAAATCATATTTTGAGCGCGTTTTTATTATTTTTAAAAATCTGATTTCAACGGAATTGTATTCCAGCATGTTTAGAAATACATTTTTTTTTTGCATTGTAGACAATTTTACCATTAACCTTTGAGTCATTTATAGTTTATATTTTTAAAAAAATCTATGGGAAAAAACGAATATAAATTATATTATTTTCGTACATGGCAAAATTGTCTAAAATTGGGTATTCTTTCAAACAGGATGGAATACATTTTCGCTAAGATTTTGCTTTTTAAAAAACGATTTAGAAAATAAAATAGCACATTGCCGGGAAAAAAACGCATACAGCCGCTAGCATATATTAACTGGCAAAAATTTTTTTAAAAACAACTGAAAATCAGTTTAAATTTACCGAAAAATACTGAAAAATACAATTTTTTATTATTGGAGAAAAAAATAAGAATCATTAAAAAATAAATATTAATTGTTTAAACCTTATGTAACTCTCTAAATAGGCGACGATGTTGGGATGCTTGCACTCCTTCATCATCAAAATCTCTTGCTGTATAGTTCTAAGGTCATCGCCTTATTTATATATATTTTTTTAAATGTTATACAAATAATATAATATTAAAGTTCACGATTCACCAAAGAAGAGTAATCAGCTGTTCTAGCCCCATAACAACAATTTGGACCCCACCCCTCACAAAAGAGCTCATTGAGCCCCGGTAAACTGAAAAGGTTAGTGAGACCACTTGTCACAAGATGATGGGTTTTTTTTAACAATAAATAGTGTGTTCTAGAATAAGTTAACCCCTTTTTTTTATTCTGATAGACAAATATATCTATAACGAGAGTAAAGGAGTAGCGGTAGCGGAAGGTGTCAACGTCAATCGAACCCGGTTCAGGTCACTACAGAATCCATTTTTTTGTAAATGTTCGGCAGCATTCAAGTCGAGTTTAGAAACCAGATAGAATCTAATTATTTCGCAAAAAAATCTGCAGCCTAAATCGGTCGAGTAGATCTTCGCTATTGTAAATGTAAAAAGTTTAATCCTATCTATTGCTGTGAATGAGAGGGGGGAGGTCATAAATATTGCCTTGTTAAAGGGGGGAGGATGTAATTTCTAATCTTGTCACAAATGAAAAAAAAAGGAAACGTTTAAAAGAAAACTACGTCATTTGATTACATTTATATTTTTATTTTTTTGAATTTTAAAGGAGCGGGTCATAGCTACAAACCCATAATTTTAAAAAATTATTAACAAATTAAATATTTCTGCAAAGTTTTACGTCTTCTATTCTGCTATGAAATAAACAGGCGTTTTATTTTTACTCTTTCTTTCATTCTTTCATAAAAAAAAAATTTTTTAGCGTGTATGATTTAATACTTAGTTGAATAATTATTGATTAAATTTTTGCCAATTAAAAAAAACATTATTTTTATAAAAAAAAAAAATTCGTTTTTAAATCAAAGTGTTTTTTTTTAATATGGATTTTTTAATTATATTTTAGCAATTGGGATATCCAATTTCTACAAGAATTTCGATATCTCCCAATTTTATGATAGCCATTTTTAATCTTTAAAACAGTATGATTCAACCGGAACCGGAAATGTATTTTAGCACGTGTCATAGGTGGCTAGATTGACGATTCATTCATTTAAAATTATATGGGAAACCAAAATGGCGTGTCACGTGTTGACGTGTATTTAATGACGTTTCAAAATGTTTTAATAGATGAATCGTCAGTTGTCATTGGTGAAGAGTACCTACCCTACGGAATTCAGTAATATCAAAAAATTTAATTCTCAAACTTTCGAAGCTTAATGAAAATAAATAAATAAAGCTATCTTTAAATATAAAAATAAAAACATGTTCAAAACTTAATTCTAGAAAATTTTATAAATTTCAAAAAATTTTAAATTTTGCGAAAATTTTGACTTTTCGAATTTTTTAATAACGACTTTGGACATAAAATAATTCGCATAAGTTAAAAGTTCAAAAAATTCACAATTCATTTTTATATTCATTTTCGGTCAAATCATATTTTTATTTTAAAATAGCACTCAGTTAGAATGATTTTAAAATTTTAATTTAAAGTTTAAACAATATTCTAATTAAATTATAAAAATTACCACACCCCCCCTCCCACCACCATCTGCCCAAAAATAATTGGATAGACGAAAAAGCTTTCGGCAATTTATATTTTAATTCTTTAATATGTTTTTAAAATTGAATTATCTAAAAAATGGGCCTGGCAATGGCATTATAAAAAAGTAACGAGAATATGTTACACAATTCTCACCTGTTTATCTTATTACAATTTTTCCCCCAGAAAAGTAGAATTTAATTCAATTATTTTATTTTTTTTTCTCCATAAAATATAATATAAAAAATTTTATTATAATATTGAAATTATGGTTTTGAAAAATATAATAATAAATAAATATAAAAATGAAAATTTTTCAATTTTTAAAATTACTTTGCTCCAATTTAACTATTTTGATGGCAGCCAATTCCGAACTATGCATATTGATACCCTTTATTGGTTTATTATATATAAAATAATGTATATATATAAAATAATATATATATATATAAAGTGGATACATAAGGGCTGTGATAAATAGGATAGGAACGATAAAACAGCTTCGATCCACCAATATTTTCATTGCTATTGGTTATATTTTTATTGTGTATAAGTATAATTATACAATCAATATCTTTTATACATTAAATTCATAAAAGACATTAAAATTCAATTTATTCGTATAATGTTTGAAAAAAAAATAGAAAGCAAAAATTTAATTAATTTTTTTGTTATATCTACAACGAGAAAAGGATTGAGTCACATTACGCCAGTATTATCAGCGACTTAATTTCGACAGAATTTTTTTTTAAACGGCTAACTAGTAATTTTAGAAAAAAGTCAATAATCCAGCTTGGAAAATTCTTTCCACAGTTGGTATAAAGATTTGGGCATCTGTTGAAATTTTGAGGCTTAGTTAATAATATTCTAAATTATAAACCTTGATGGTCTTTTTTTTGTATAAATCGCCTAAATTGAGCAATTTGTTTAACAAAGCACATTTCGGCCATAAACATAGCCCTAAATTAAATTACTTTAATTTAAATTAAATACACTTAAAAAATGATTGGTGAAAAGTTATATATCAATTATTTTTTTAAATGACATTTGATTTGAAAGGCATATGGTAAATAAAATCAATTTATATATGGAATCGGTAGCGGTCATGTGATTGGTTTTGTCAAAATATCGGATCGGTGAAAAATTTGTGGATCGGCATAGCCCTTGTAAATACTATACGATAATCGATATAAAAAATAAGAAAATAATGAGAATTTGTGAACAAATTAATATAAAAACAGGAGTGCTTGCTTATAAGGGATTTTTTTTAAAAAAAAATCGAATATTTCATTATTCGAGATTCGCGAATATCGATTAAAATCCGAATATTTCAGATATAAAATTATTTCTTTCAAATCTCAAATATTGATTGATTATTTGATTGGTCCATAAGATTACTAATTTGTTCTTATTGTAGTAATTATATACTGTTTATAATTTTATTTTCAAAAAAGTCGAAATTTTATATTATAATTCTTTTTTAAAAACGCAAAATTTCTTTGTTTAGCTTACGCGATATAGAAAATGAGATTATTATCATTAATTTATTAGAAATAGTTTTATAAAAGGAAAATAAAGGTTTGTGCTTAATTTTAAAATCTATAATGAATAAATACAACAGAAATAATAACCTATTTAAGTTTTACAAAAATGTTTTCAATTTTATTTATATTTTTTTTTAAATATTAGATTATTACATTACAATTATTTATATTATATTAACTTAAATAAATTATCTTCTCTAAAATTTTGTTACTTTATTTTTTTCTTTAATTTAATTTGATTTTTTTTTCCCCCCTTTTTAAATTTGTAAATTTTTATTCGAGGGTAATAAATATACGTAATGTTATATAAGGTAAATAAAGATAATTGGCCTAACGCCTTAAACTCGACAAAATTAGAATTTTTTTTTTAAAAAAAAATAAATAAATAGGTTGGCTGAGCCTAAAGTATTTTAAAAAATTAGCCAGTAATCAGATGATCGATCATTTAAACATTCATTCACTTTTGGTATTTCCAATTTGCCCTTAATGAACTACAGACTCAAACCTTGCCCACCATTTTTAATATTTTATTTTCCTAAATGTGATTTATAAAATATTCGTTTCACGAATAAAAATTTTTTCCATGAGCTCAGCTATAATTGTTTGACTTTCCTCAAAAATTGTATTTTTCTTATTCATAAAATACTTATTTTTATAGAAATATGAGTTCCAATTTGATTTTTTGTAAGGGTTGGTTGGACAAAACTTGATTAATTTTATTTTTTCAGATAGGTCTTGTCTTATTATTATAGTGATACAATATTTATTCCACAAGAATTGACATTACTCTAATTTTTTTTTATTACAAAATATAAGTCGAAATAAAACAATATTTTCTTCTCTTTGTTCTAAATTTAATAAAATCTTATTATTTTTATCAAGGTAATAACTTAAATAAAATATCAAGTTCAATAAAATTATACAACAAAATTAATTTTAACAAATATCAAGAGTATTGTAAGAATTAAAAAGATAAAATAATAATTAGGGTTAAGCCAATATTAAAATAGCTTGGTCATAAATGTTTAAATTACAGAATTGGCATCAGGTTTGTATCTAATTATGCATAAATATATCTTGGAATAATGTATAACATTAAAACTGGTTATAAAACAAAATTATTATAAGGAGGCAATAATTGGTAAAAATCAATTTGTTTAGGATTGTACTGGCAAAAAAATATTCAGATTTGATTTGTCAATATTATCCTTAAAATAATTTTTGTTTAACATTCTACTGTCTATTGCCAATTTCAATATATATACATTTATACCATATCATTTTTATATTAGCACAGCCCTATAAAAAAATGATTTATATACAAAAACATAGTGCAATTTATATTAGATATACAATCGATTTTAGTGTACTTAATTTAATGTCATTTTCTTAACTAATTTTTTTAGATTTATACTGATAAATCTAGGATAACTTAATTAAGGCAACATTTTATTAACAAGTATAACAATATAGAGTATTAATCTGTTTTTTAAATTAAAAATTTAAAGATATAACTATATGTTGTGGTTTATTGTATTTTTTAATATATTATTATTAAAATAATTGAATGTGACATATCAAAACAATAATTCATATTAATTAGCTTTTATTGTGATATTTATATCAGTTTTCCTATTTTATTTAATCTATGTATGTTTACTTCTAGGTTCTCACAATGCTAAACAAAAGTAAAATTAACATAGCCAACATAACTCTTCCATAATAAAATTTTATTTAATCAGGCATGGGCTTTTTACCCCCTCTTATTTCCCATGGGCAATTAAGTGGCCTTGCCTCTTGCGTGCACAGGTAATTGCGACCTGCCCAAAAAACATGGATGGTCCTCTCATTATTTCTATTTTTTATCCCAGTCTGATGGGCTTTAATGAGAGAACCAAGCTTTACCCTGTTGCATATATAACTGTTATATATATGTGATGCTTAGGGTTAAGCGTTTAATATCAGTATCACGTAATTTTTATTGTTAATGAGATTAGTTTTATAAAAATTAAATTTAAAAAAATTACCTTATAGACTTCACCATATGTCCCACTACCTACTTTTTGAATTAATTCAAAATCTTCATGAGGGTTTTTCTTATGCAACTCACTATGAGCCATTTAAAAAGCTCATCTTTTAATGATAAAATTCCATCTGATAATAAAATAAGCTTCCACAAAAAACAATTGAATTAAAAACATATGAAAGTTTATAAAGTATTAGTAAATAAAAATATAATTAATTATATTTTTATTTATATATTTATTTCCAAATAAAAAAGGATATTTTAATAAGATATAAAAACTAATGTTAATAACACATTCAGATTTCGTACATAACCATCAAATTTTATTTATCCATTCTTTAATATCTGACCCTAGTCGTTATTTTAAGCTTATTATCTTTCTTAAGCAAACGCGACTAAAAGGTCTTTTAAAAAATAGAATAAAAAATGAGGCGAATGGGATGTGGCTCTATTATGGTGATTGAAAACGGTCAATATTGCAGAGGTCACATTATATATCACTTTTGGGGAGATTTTTAAGTTTCGTGATTGTTGAAAAACTTAACAACAAATATTTCGAAACAGTATAAATAGAGAGTTATTTATAATCTGCATAAAAACTTTTGTATATGGGTTTTATTCTTATTAAATTATTTTAAAAAAATATATTGAATTATGACCACGTCGCTACCTTGTTAAACTAATATTTCATATTCATAAAAGACTTTAAAAAATCAAGGTAAAGACTTTTGTCTAGATTTTTTAGTAGCTTAATATATGGAGTATTATTTTAATTTCATTCAATAGTTTGTGGTTTTCAAATATCTTTTGGTGCTTGGAAAATTTCATTTATAGATTTATATTATAGGATTATATCATTTAAATTAAAATAATATATCTTGTTATATTTTTATGCGAATTATCGAGCCACCACATTTTTAAATCAGAGCAATATTTAAATGTTTCATGCCCATTTTTTCTAATTTTTAAGAAAGTGTTTTTAAAAATTCACATGAATGACATGTGTTTTTTTAATCATCTAATAGAAAATGCACACAAGAAATTTTGGGCTGCGCCTGGCTCCGAGCAGATTTTTCAATAAGCTTTGGACCGGATGGAGCAAAAAATCTAGCGGGCCGTGTCAGGCCCGAAAACATATACAAACATTCTTAACGGGTCAAATGGGCCTCGCAGATCTTTAATTTCTATCCCGTCAACTCTTTCTCACCTCTGAGCCACTCGCTTCGGCTTAACTAACCTGCACCCCCTAATTCTATCAATCCATCGATAAAATGTTTAGAATAAAAAATAAAATATTATCGAGTATACATTCTAGTAACGTTTAGCATTAAAGAAATCGTGTTTTAGGGTAATATGTTAGTATATCTTTAAATAATTATTTTTTTTAATGTGTTTTTATTAAAATTTTGGAGGAGTAATTCATCCTTATGTAAAAATAAATTGTTCTTTTCGAAAAGCGTTTAAGGCCTGGTAATTTTATATATTAGAGGTCATTTGGCGGGTTTTTAACTCATTAGCCGGCCCACGAATGTTTTAAACAAATTTAACACCCCCGCCCGCCCATAGTTTTTAATAAAATACCCACCCGGCCATTATTTTTAAAAAGTTTTACCCAAACTCGCTATTATAAAATTTAATTATGACCATTTTTATAATTTTTTAACCATCTAATAGAAAAAATAATTCAGTTTCAGTATTACACCTCTATAAAAAGTTTTATAATTTAGTAAATTACTATATTAAGCATAATAAAATATTCAATTTAAATTTTGAATAATTTATTTGTTCAAATAAAATATTTATGAAAAAAAATATAAATATTAAATTTATATTATATAATTATAATGCAAAAATAATAATTTAAAAAAACCGACATTTTCTGGATTTAAACACGTTTTTCTTTGTTCTAATAACCTTCCAGCAATGCTAAATCCTAGTTCAGACGAAGCACTCGTTGTAGGAACTGGCTATATTTTTCTTGCTAATCTTGATAACTTTGGTAAATCTTTTTCCAGTCATTGGAAATCCGTTTGAAGTATATCCTCTTCCTCACGTGAGATCATTAAATATAAGTTAAACCAATAATAATAAATTTTAAAGATAATTTAAATTTAAATTAATTGTAATATACAGCCAAAAATTTTGCCAAATTATGCATATCAAAACTAGTTACTTTAAAATTTAAATATTATATTATGTCATTAGGTACGGTACTCTCCTCTTAACAATCTTATCCTCCCATCTGTTTTGGTTTTGACGCGGGTGCTATTTATTTCAAACATAGCATTTAATAAGTAGGTTTTCGACGACAGCATCCTCATTTGTCGGAACTTTGGTATTAAAAATGTTGAAAATTTATGCTGCATATGGATTTTAAATTTCTCAATTATAAAAATTTTTAGCTCTTCTTTATTGAATCTATTTCTTTTTCGAAGTTTGTTTTTCTCTCCATTATATCTATATTTATTTGATTATGCTCATGTAGAAGCAGATTATACTTAATTTTTCTTATAAAGAAAAAATATGCATAAATCGCAAAATATATATTTATTAAGTAGAGCAGGCTTGTAGTCGCCCTCAAGAGCATTAGTTGCATCTTTATATGGCTTCAAATAATCTTTTAAAAATTCCTTACCCATAGATTCAATTTTTTCATTCATATCACGAGATTGTGAAACAAAATAATCTTGTCATACATACATTATTTAAATACTTTGTAGCATCTTATGCTTTGTATTCTGATTCATATAAATATGTTATTGTAACGACTTGCTTAGATATTTTTCGTTGCCACTTTGTTTGAAATATGTGGTCAACTTTGCAGTTGCCAAAATATTATTAATCTCTGGAGAATTTCCCAAAATAAAATTTGACTGGAATGCATTGCGAAGTATCGTGTTCAACATATGTGTTGAACAGTTTAGTTTATTAAATCTAATATTTAAAAAAATAAACCGAAAATATAGTTTTCCAAATATGAATGTTTTACATTTAGATATATACAAAATCTCTCAAAAATTATTATAATATCTACCTAATCGATAAATTAAATTTGCCCTTCCAACGCTTTTTTAATATTTACTCTCAATTGGTCCGTTATAAAGATGAGCCCTGAAAAATTTTTCCGAGGAACACCAAGTTTAAAAAAAAAATTATAATTGAAAAGTTTTAACTCCATTGTAGAAGATAAAAAGTTGAATCTAAATAAAAAAAAATATATATATAGATTAAATAATGAAGGATATGAAAATTGAAACAATAAAATATTTATGGTATTCATCTCCATTAAATATAAATTAATAAATTATAAAGTAAAATATATTACGTGATACGTGATATATAGCGCTTTTGCCCTCTAACGTTGAAGATTCAACAGAGCTACGCTAGGTTTTCCTCATTTCCATCTAATTGGAACAATTTAATTTGGGTATAAAAGTAAAAATATGAGGAGCCCTCCACACGTTTGTGGGCAAGTCGCACGTACTTGTAGGCACAACATTTCGAAAAATGTTGCTTAAACCTCTATAGGCTTTAATTTAAAAGGAGTGGGATAAAGAAAAAGCCTATACCCTAAAACTACAGTATAATTTAATTACTTTAAAGGTGGGTGATGGTTGATTTTAAGCTTAATTTCTTTAGTGTAAGTTATATATTGAGATATAATGTTCATAGAATCTGTAAATAAATATGATTAAAATAAAATAATATTTACCGTTCTATCACTTCAAATTTTCCACCGGAAGCGCAAGAATTCGAAATTCAGACGGGAAATTCGAAATTCAAAAAAAATGGGGTGCAATAAGTTAAAAAAAATTAAAATAAAGTAAAGTAAAAATATTCTTTACTCAACAAAAAAATAACGACTGAATTCTATCAACAATCTATATATATATATCATTTTATTTTAAAATTAATATTTTCGAAATATACTCATTTACATAGTCTATTTTAAACCATCTTTTTTTAAATAAAGGTATTCATTTGAATATCACAACACCCTTCCACTTAAATTAGGCCGAACATTCTGTAAACGACCAACTTTCCTTTCGATTTTGGCTTTACCACCCAATTAGTCTTCTTAATTTTTATGTCTTCTAAGTTCTAACGGCGGCTGTCCCTTGTCTAGTATTCTTAGGTTTAACGACTGTTTGTATCTGATAACCGTTCTATCTTTGCAAAGTTTATTTCTTTTAGTAAAAGCTTGATTTTTGAATCCCATCTTCTGTTGCTTGCCAACCCCTGGTAAACGATTAGCTCTTTATCTATTCTGTAAGCGATTGGCGATAATTGAGCTATTAATTATTGTTTTCACGAATTCTTGTACCTGTGATCGCTGACTTCTGGATCTTATACTAGAGTTTGCCTTTGCCGATATATCGATTCTGTTGTTTGCCTATCCTAACTTGATCTTAGTCTTAATATCTAAGTCGTTTCCTAAATTTCTACCTAAAATATTCTATTAAAATCATCATAACTTCTGAAAAATTTTATCATTTTATCTCACATTCATTCTTAAATTTACAATACATGGTCCAATATACAAATAAAATATATAAATATGACAAATTCACCTTAATGTATAAGGTTATCACCTTTAAATCTAATTCTGCTTAACTCCTCTCTTACTTCCTGAAATATTTGCTCCCTTTCAAAATATACTAAATAAATTATATAATTATGTCAAATCCTACCACCCCTTACCCACAATTAGCTTAGCCCCTTATCTTCATTACAGCTGAATTAAAATAAAAAAAATTTCTAAATTCTAAATCTATATACCAAATTTCCTCATACTTTATGCACTTTTGGACGCTCAAGTTTTTAAGAATAAACATAATATTTATTTATTTTTTTCTCCTCTACGCAGCTAACACCCGTTGTGAAAAAAAAACTATTAAAAAATATATCTCTTTTCGCACATACGTTGTTGAAAAATCAATGAAATCTAATCATTATGGTTTTCGCACGTTGTTGAACTACCACTCGACTCTAATCATTATAGTTTTTCATACACCCGTTATTGAAAAGTAGCTAACATATTTTTCTAAGGCATGTTTTTCTTTCTGTTATTATTAGAGAATAATGTTGCATAATTAATCTCAAATCTTATTAATGATCAAAAATAAAGATGTGATCTCTAAATGAACTCGATTGCGGCATAAATTTTATAATGATGAAAGTCGTTTCTCTTCCTGAAGATTTTTGTTAAACAACCTAATTTCACTATAAACTATTAACTTAAATAAAAATTAAACCTAAATCTTTAATAAGAATTTAATTTCAACATCAACCATTTTCTAACAAAATCTTATTCTCCAAAACTTTTAAATTACAGTATCTTTTAACCAAACTATTTGTATTAGTTTCAGTCTTTAATCCTAATCTTCGCATTTAAATTTTACTATGTTTTTACAAATAAATTTATTTAATCTCCACAATTTATGTTCCTTTTTCTTTGTTATAGTTATCTCGTGATCAATTATTTAATAACTTATAATAATTTTTAAAATCTAAAACATTTTATAGTCTCAATTAGATTCAGTAAGTTTCTAAGTTTACCAGTAAATTCTCTGTTAATTTCATAAATTATCACCTTTAAGTAACTATAACTCAAACTTCTTAGTATCCTATCTACTATAAATGATACCTTTATATTTTTTTTATCTTTTTTTATTTTATTGCTATTTTGTATCTTAACCGTAAAAATAGTCCGATATCTAGTTGTTAAACGGCTCATTTTTTAGCCGATTTTTAAATAGGCTAACTCAATATTTTATTAGTAAGAAGCCTTAAGATTTTGCGCATAGGTAGCACAAAGGTTTGAATATCTATTAACGAAATATCGAGGCTTAAACAATATTTTACTGGCTAAAATATTGAGTTAGCCGTTTTTAAAAATCGGCTCAAATCGAGCCGTTTAACAACACTACCGATATCTATATGAGCTGCCATAAAATAATTTCTTACTTTTCAACATACGTCTTTAAAACTTGATTTAAATAACTCTAAATAATCGTTCATACCCAAAGTAAATTTAATTTCAAACGATAAATTTTCTTCTTATATTTTTTTTTAAAAAATATATGTCCTTCTTAATTACATTTCTCTAAATATTTTTCTTACCTTTTTATTTTTGGAATTTTTGTATTCGAATGCAGTTTGACACCATTCCTTGTCTCCCTGTAACCATTGATTTGCATTGAATAATTAGGAGAATCTGGTCCAACTTTGTTTTCGCTCTTCGGCACCAATGCACGATCGAATGATCACAATCCCGCTTATTTATTGGGTCCCATATAAAGGGAAGCAATTACTAGTAGTGAATATAATAAAATACATGATATAATACAAGAATTAGGCATTTTATAAGTTTAATAGCAAATTATGTGGAAAGCAGTATTTTCCATAAGAAGCTATTAGATTCCGGGCTCAAGTTAGTGTGGAATGGGATTTGCTCACCATGTTCATTAGAAGTGACATTTTACTAAAAACTACTAGATTGGGTTAATATCTTTACTAAAACAGAAATCGAATAAAGATCTCGACAAACAGATTGCTTAAAAAATGTTAAAAAATGATAATATTGAATCAGAACAAGGCTGCCAGGGAGAGCGAAATATTAGTTATCGAATTACAATAAATTTTTAGATTTATTTTTACTTTTATGTAAATAATATAGGTAATATTGTCTTAAAAAACATTGATTTGAATGTGATATTTGACTGATCAAATACATTCATTTAAAAATGTAATTGATAACCCCCAGCCCCATCCCCCTTTCACCTTCCATATATAAACGCCGTATACAAATTTTAGAAAATAATTATTTTAAAATATCTATAAAAAGATATATTTATTTTTAAAATAAAATAATTAACCAATCAGAATCCAATATTAAAAAAAATACACAGAAAAGAAATAACATTAAAAAAAATACATAGAAAAGAAATAACATTAAAAAAAGGTTACTGCCACTCTCGGGGGGTATATTATTTTTTTTTGTTATTTTTTTATGATATTTTTTTTTATCAATTTTTTATTTTTAAGTTATATTTTTGAGAATTTTGCATACAAATTTAATTTTTTTGTGGTAAAATATAGGAATTATTAATTCACGTATATTTAAGTTATATTTAGGAGAATTTTGCATACAAATTTAATTTTTATTGTGGTAAAATATAGGAATTATTAATTCCGCATATTTAAGTTATATTTAGGAGAATTTTTTTTTTGTGGTAAAATATTTAAAATATTTTTATAGGAGAATTTTGCCTACAAATTATATTTTTTATTTAGGTCTACAAATTTTAATTGACCCCACCTATGAAGTTTAAGTGATTTTAACCTTTCTAATGAAGGGTTAAATCGAAATATAGTATTAAATGAATCAATTAAATATAGTATTCAAATTTATACACGATATATAGTATTAAATTAAATACTCAATTTTATTCATTGAATAAATATATTATTAAAGTTAATACAATCATTTATAAAATGAATGAAAATGTCAGAACGATTTAACAATTTATATTTTCTAAAATATCTATATTCAAGAAGTTCATGAATATTATCGCGATCCCCATGTCTTTTATAGTTTGTTTTTAGATCCCGCCCAGCCTTTCGACTTTTTGGGTGTGGATGGATCTGTCATTAGGATCAACAAAATTTCGATAATGATTGACCCATTACCTACGCCCTCTCTCCCTTATATATAAACGATGCGAAATTAAGAATTTCTATATTTTTTTTACCCCGAATACAACATTTTGTAGAAAAAATTTTTCAAAATATCTTAAATAAAAATTTATAGAAAAAACTTTTTTAAATATCTTAAATAAAAAATTAAATTTGTAGGCAAAATTTTCCTAAAAATCACTTAAACTTCAAAGGTGGGGTCAATAAAAATTTGTAGACCTAAATAAAAAATATAATTTATAGGCAAAATTCTCCTATAAAAATAATTTAAATATTTTACCACAAAAAAAATTAAATTGGTATGCAAAATTCTCCTAAATATAAATTATTAAATATGCGGAATTAATAAATTCCTATATTTTACCACAAAAAAAATTAAATTTTAATGCAAAATTCTCCTAAATATAACTTAAATATACGTGAATTAATAATTCCTATATTTTACCACAAAAAAATTAAATTTGTATGCAAAATTCTCTTAAATATAACTTAAATATGCGGAATTAATAATTCCTATATTTTACCACAAAAAAAATTAAATTTGTATGCAAAATTTTCAAAAATATAACTTAAAAATAAAAAATTGATAAAAAAAAATATCATAAAAATAAAAAATTGATAAAAAAAAATATCGTAAAAAAATATCATAAAATAATAACATAAAAAAATAAACATAAAAAAATAACAAAAAAAATAAAAATAATATACCCCCCGAGAGTGGCAGTAACCTAAAAAAATTAGAATAAAAAAGAATAGGTAACCCCCCCCCCCCCGGAAGTTAAAATTTATATAAAAAAATATTGAAAAAAATTATAACGAAAATAAAATAAAAAATTTTTAAAATATCAAATAAAATACAAATTATACGTCATTAACGCTATAGAACAAATAAAAAATCAACAAAGTTTTTGGCAAATATTTTGTTTTATATTATAATAAGTTCCAGGCAAAAATTATGCTATTACTGAATACTGGTTGCACAATCTTTTATCAAATTTTAAAATATAGGGGGGATGGGGGGGGGGGAAGTTTTTATTTTTAATAATGATTATTTTGAATATTTTCCAAATTACCTTATATTGTACGGCCGCTAATTGTATAAAATCCCCTTCTTTTATTTGTTATCAGATAAAACATAACAAATTAAATAACAGGGGATCCAGTGGAAATAAGTAGAAGTTTCTTTTTTAGGTATAATGGTTGTATCAGATTGTCTAAACCCCCATATTTGTGCAGATGCTCAAAAAAATTGAATCTATAAATATGTTTTAATATTTGTTTAAACATTTTAAAAACCATTGACATTTTAGATTTAAAAAATTTATATTATTTTTTAGAAGAAATTACCCTCCCCAGGATAACACTATCCCCGGTGTCCGTAGGAAGTTTTGTGAGCGAACAGAAAAAAAAAATTTGTTTTTTAGAAAGAAAGGAAATAATAGATTATATGTAAAAAAAATATACGTCGCGTTTAAAGAAAGAAAGAAAGAAAGAGGTAGTTTTATATCTAAATTTTTTTTCATATTAAAAAAGAGCCACTCAGAACGCGAATCTTCCCTCCTCCCCATATTACATGGTGCGGTCACATGTAGGAATATTCCCATTACAAGGTTAGGAGGGAATATTCCAGAACCACTCCAAAAGGAGGAACGCTCTTCAATGTAAACACCCATTTTCCATATCCTTCCGCACAGCAAGGCAGCAAGAGGTAGAGGAAAAATGGCGCTTACGCAAATTTCGCGCTAAGGAAGAAACGCCATGATAGTCATCATCGTGACCGCGTGTCGACTTTACATTTAGGCGATATTTCGCACGTATCACACTACAGAAATGATCCTGTTGAAGTATGATCTTAAGTTTACAAAACAAATATTCCTTTTATATATAAAATTAAAATTGTTTTACGAGTATGGTGGCTAATGGGCATTTCCTTTGTTAATAAAGACTTAATCATAACGTTACGGGTGTCAAAAATGAAAACATAATAAATAGTATATATCTATCAAAATTTGTTTCTTTTATCAAAAGTTAAAGACTTTTATAAATATTTATAAATAAATAATCTACTATAAAATATATAACGCCATCTATATATTTATTATTAATTTAATAAAAATATTTGTTTTTTATTTTTATTTATTAAATCTTTTTTGAAACCCGAGGACATAATTTAATATTTTTTATTTTATAATGGATTCAAAATTCGATATTAAATAAAAATCCAAGATTGTGTTAGTCAATAATTTTCTTCTTTTTTTAATATGTTCGCAAACTGCAACACGCCCACTTTCCTATTATGGGGATGGACATATTGCTGTCAAATATAACGTGGTTTAAAAATATATATAAAAAAAATCATTATATACCCTTCATTTTTTTACAGATTTATAGTGTAGACTTCCTTATTCCGGGATATTCCTTCATCTAGTATATCTATATTATGCCGAATTTGTGAAAGTTCATTTAGAACTTATCAAAATGATAATGATATAAATTTTAAAAACAAAATATCCCAAATGATAAGTAACCGATTCGCCGATACACAAATAATTGAGTCTCTCAAATCTATATAAGTACATAAACATTAATGAAAAAAATTATTTTAACAACCTAATAAGTGTGACAGAATAAATACTTATATTTATAAAATAAGTCTAATAAAACACTGTACAATATAATAGGCACATATATTATCTAATAATATATAGTAGAGTACTAATATTTTTTTAAATATATATCGATTTATATTTAAATTTATAAGAAAAAAAATTATTTACATGCAAATTCATTGGAAGCGCGTTCAATTCTTGATCTGGGATTACTCCTGTATTGATCCACTTGCACCATCCAACCTAACATTTAATATTCTTGAGAAAAAGGAGTCACTTATAATAGCTAAATATTCTGAAATTTCTCAAGAATACATTTTCATTCCCATCATTTCCACAACCCTTACAACTTTTGGGAAATGTGCCTTATCTTTTTTCAAGGAACTTGGCTCTCACATTCGACAACTAACGGGAGAACCTCGCGAAGGCTTCTTCTTAAGACAAAGACTCGCCATAGCGATACACAAGGCAAATTATATATATTAGCTTCATAGGCAGCCTCTGAATACTTTTTGTGACCGCCCCCCCTCTCTTTTTGTTTTTTTCCTCCTTATTACTAATATATGTATTTGTTTATTATTATATATTATTTTGAATAAAAATTATTTTTTATTATTTAAATAAACAATTCCAAATTACTAGAAGCAATTATATTAACGTTATATATATATAGAAAATAAATTATTTTCAAGTATGGTAACTTATGAATCTCATCTTTTATAAAGTTTTGATTATAACGTTATGCGTGTCAAAAACAGGAAAACGTAATAGATAATATATATCCATCAATCACCCTTGGTTTCTTATATCAAATTTATAGAGTTTTAGAAATTTTTAGAATTAAATTTACTATTGTTAAATTAAAATTTCAGTGAAGGTGCATCATAAAAAAATGAGAATTGTAAATTATTTTTGAATTTTTTTAAAGCAAATGGGTAAAAATAGATATTGTAAACATGTTAAATTAAAATTTCAGTAAATATGTAGATGACAATTGATTTTAAAAAGTGCGAGTGAACCTATTAAAAAATTTAAATGAGGCATTTTGATGAAATAAATAGTAAAGGTTTCTGAAAATGCCTTGGAAAAACTGGCACAATTCGCAAATAAATTGAGCGTTAAATTACATAACGAATTGTGTTCATTTACCAGTATATTCAAAAATTTAATAGCAGAATTAAATGAAATGGATTTATATACATGTTGAAGGTTCAAAAATATATTATTTTGTATAAATTTTTTTCAGGAGGTATTTATATTATAGTGGCTGTTTCAACCGATTTCAAAAACGGTGAAACCAAATTTTTAGCCGAATATCCAAGCCTCGTGATTATATGCTATTTATATACATCTAGTCATTATAAAAGAATTTCGGTGGATAAAATTATATTTATTTTATTTAGAAAGTATATTTGATATTTATTTACAGATTATTAATATATTAGTAATTGTTATTTTTCTAGTCATTAATCCTAATAAATAAATTTACAAAATTTTAGATGTTCAATATTTATTTAAGGAGAAATTTTTGAATTATTTTTATAAAAATTACCCCCCCCCCCCCACCCCCTCACACCACTCTCAAGCAAATTCCTGGCTAAGCTCCTGGGGTCTACTAATATGATCAAAAATGGCATGATAAATATGAATATTTTGAATGTTAAGACCCAACAAAAGTATGTTAAATTATTCTTATGAATATTCAAATAAATGCTATACATTTACCATAAATTTAGTCACAAGTGAAATTAGATTCTCTTTATAAATAACAGGAACTTTTTTTCCAGGCCTGGACGAATATTGTAAATCGCCATTATATATAAAAAATAAATATATATATTTAAAAATTGGATATCATAGAATAATATATCACATAAAGATCCGTAAAATGCCGAATTGGTATATTTTAATATTTTTTTTAAAACCCAAAACAAAAAAAATTTATACACCCAAGCCGAAAATCTTTTTTTTAGAAATCTGGACCGAAAAATATTTTATCAGAAAAATCCGGGCCGAGCTTGAAAATATAAAACCCGGACCAGGCCGACATTTTTTTAAGCCGTACATATGATACCTCTGCAGGTTTCTGATAAATAATGTATTGATTCTTATTATGCGTTTCCTCGAGGGACAAGAAATCAAAACATCGAAAAACATTTTCTTAAAAAAGGGGCGTTTATATTAAAAAATTATTCTTATTGATTGAATATGTGATAAAACATATAAATTTCATATTAAAAAGGGGGTTTAATTATAAATTAAAAAAAGAAGCTTGAAATGAAATTAATTGACTTTTATTTAAATTTATTATCAATTTTTTTTAATTCAAAGATCGGTGATAAAATTTGATATATCACATAAAATTCATTATCAGGGAAGGGGGGGGGGTCATAGGGTAGGAAGGAGGAATAATATCTTATATTTAGAAGCTTCTTTGTCAATATTTTTATTTTCAAATTCTTAGGAAAATATATCAACTAAGAACGATGAACAGCTCTAACAATGATTTGTGGAAAGACATTAAAAGATTACTAAGGAAAGATAATTTTTATAGCTAAAAGAGCGGCAGAGATATGAAAGAGAACAGAATCTATGATGTATATAAAAAATTGAAGCACTTCTGCAAATCTGGTTGCTTCATGAAACTCCCTATGATCGTCTTAGAGAATGGGAAACCCATAACAGACCAAGATGAGCAAATGGCACTGTGGCTTGATCATTATATGTCGGTTTTCGACTCCCGCAAGGCTACTCTTTTAACCACTATGAATTCTCATACAATCGTATCCCCGGTTGGTTTCTCTTCTAATGAAATTTCAAACATTGTAAAGAAATTACGGAACAATAGAGCTCCGGGTTTAGACAACATCACAGCTGAATATTTAAAAATATCCCCGAACACAATCTCTTCTTTCCTCCTTGCTCTCTTTAATAAAATTTGGGAAAGTGGGAAAACTCCGACAGAATGGAATAAATCTCTCCTGTGTAACTTCCCGAAAATCAAAAAACCTATGAAATTTGCGGATTATTCAGCAGTAGCTCTCACCTCCTGTGTATCAAAAGTCTTTATGACACTTATCAAAAACAGGATCTTAATTTCAACGCCCCACCTTCTTTCTAAATATATCTGCGCATATAGGCCTAATAAAAACATTTTGGAGCCTATTTTATCACTGAAAATAATTATGCAAAAGTGCTGGAAATAAAAGATTCCCTCTTATTACACTTTTATTGATTTTAGTAGGGCCTTTGATAATGTAGACCATAACGCCTTATGGGAAGCACTATCAGAGTCCGGCATCGAACCAAATATTATCTCCATCTAAAAAAACCATTATTCCAAATTAATTTCATGTTTTATAACAAACGATAAAATATAACCCTACTTCAAGATAAAAAAAAAGAGTAAAACAAGGTTGCACCCTATCACCGCTCCTTTTTAACATCATAATAAATAAAGTCATAAAGAAGGTAAATGCTGCAGCCGACTTGGCAGACTTTGGGTTTAATGAAAACTTTCACTTTGTTAATAGGATCGTTTCGTATGCCGACGATATTGTCGTAATATCAAAAAATATTGAAGAGACTGTAAGCCTGATTCACCTAATCAAAACCATAAGCCTCAGAGTTGGTCTAAAAATTAATTTCAATAAAACGGTCATTCTTCCCTCGCCAAATACACCATCACTCCAAAATCTTTTGGTAGGTGGCAACGTTATCAAAAAAGTAGATAATATCAAATACCTAGGTGTGATGCTCAATAACAAAGGTGAATGCAAGGAGGAAATGAAGATTAGAACGCAAAAAGCCAAAAGAGCGTTCTATATGTACATGAAAATCTGGAAGACTAAGGAAATATCGGTTTTCACGAGGTTGAGGCTATTCAACTCTACGATTATCCCCATTTTATTATACGGAAGTGACATATGGGAAGCTAACAAGACTGACCTAAGACGTATACAATCCTTTATAAACAATTGTCTGAGAACGATAAATGGTATTTTTTATCCCAGAGTCATCTCTAACTCTAACCTCTAGAGGAAATCTAGCCACACTCTGATAAATATTACGCTAAAAAAACGACGGATACAGTTCCTAGCCCATATAATAAGGAATTCAGATCACAACCTTGCACATGATGCTATCGCTTGGTTATATACACATAAAGGGAAATAGTATACTAAATACAAATCGTTATGGTATTACAAAGTTATAAAAGACGTGATGGAGCTGAATGTAAACATGAAACAATTTATAAAGCTTAATAATTGCAAAAGGTCTATCAGAAAACTCTTTCGCATCAAATATATATTTCAGATGAAAATTGTTCCTGGGGACCTCTCGTTCACATACATTTTCCTTACTTTTTCTTTTTCGATTTCTTATGTGGATTTATTCCTCTCGAAAGTATTTTTCTTTAATTTACCTCAATAATAAATAAACTTGCTTTAATACAGTAAAATTTTTTAAATTAAATTATCCATCTCCCACCTTTAAAGTAATTAATTTCAAATGCAGTTCTTGGGTATAGGCGGTCCCGCTCTTTTTCCTTTAAGCCTATAGACGTTTTAATAACATTTCTTAGAAATGTTGTGCGTACAGCGGCTTGCCCACAAACGTGTGGAGGGCTCCTCATATTGTTTTTTCTCCCCCAAATTAATAAATTCCAATTAGATGGAAATGAGGAAAACCTAGCGTAGCTCTGTTGTGTATTCAACGTTAGAGGGCGATGCGCTATATATCACGTAAAATGATTTATAATAAATAGTGTTATATTTGTACAATAACAAATCATATTATTACTGTATATGTGCAATTTTAATACGTGATTTATTTACTACTATTCTTTTTTTATTAAAAAATATCTTATCTTATCTTATCTTATCTAGCATGTTGGTCATAGACCTGCCCAAAATGAGCGAACGTGAATTTTATGAAGGCCCACCCTTCATAAAATTATGCCGATTTTTTTTCTCAAGGATACCAACAAACCTTGTACCCAGTTGTAGTTTACTAAATGAGTGGAACTTACCCTTTCCGATATTGTAATTGTAATTTAAATAAATAATAATATAAGGCATATATATCTTATTTGTTTATTAATCTTGAATAGTTATATTCATGATAAGGAATGAGTTAAGAATATTTCAATCTATAGAAAATTCCATTTCATTTGTTAAGTTATATTCTTCCAAAAGATGAACCGGAAAAACTTCGCCAATCGTTTGAACATATCAAAAATTTATTTATAAATAGATAGATTTATTTTGGGAGAAAGAAACAAGGGGAGGGATTGGTTATTATTGAAGTGTGAGGGGTAATAATTTTTAATTATTTATTCTTATATTTTATTAATAATTTTTTTATTGCACAATCATATTTTAAATTATTTTAAATGAAAACATATTTGAAAAAATCATTTTCCTATATTATAAATCTTGTTATTTGCATTATACAGTTATCAATAAATATTTAAAATATAAATAAATATTGTGTAATTTATATATTATTTTGAAGATATTTAGTATTAATTTATTTAATATAAGATAAGATTATAGGCCTCTTTTTATTAGATTTTATCTAAGGTTTTACAAATTTAAAATCATGGATCAAAAACATTTTAATTTATGTTTCTCTATTTTTAATAAATAATTTTTATGTAAAGAGTGAATTTATTTTAAAATTACCTCAGCTTAGAAAATTTTCAAATATCAAAAATTATGTCTTATTAAATCATTCACATAAATAAGACATTTAATAACTAACAAATCTACGCGAATGAATTTTTGGTTACTGCCACTCTCGGGGGGGGGGGGGGGGGGGTATATTATTTTATTTTTTTTGTTATTTTTTTTATGTTATTATTTTATAATATTTTTTTATGATATTTTTTTTATCAATTTTTTATTTTTAAGTTATATTTTTGAGAATTTAGCATACAAATTTAATTTTTTTTGTGGTAAAATATAGGAATTATTAATTCCGCATATTTAAGTTATATTTAGGAGAATTTTGCATGGATATTTAATTTTTTTTGTGGTAAAATATAGGAATTATTAATTCCGCATATTTAATAAGTTATATTTAGGAGAATTTTGCATACAAATTTAATTTTTTTTTGTGGTAAAATATAGGAATTATTAATTCCGCATATTTAAGTTATATTTAGGAGAATTTTGCATACAAATTTAATTTTTTTTGTGGTAAAATATAGGAATTATTAATTCCGCATATTTAAGTTATATTTAGGAGAATTTTGCATGGATATTTAATTTTTTTTGTGGTAAAATATAGGAATTATTAATTCCGCATATTTAATAAGTTATATTTAGGAGAATTTTGCATACAAATTTAATTTTTTTTTGTGGTAAAATATAGGAATTATTAATTCCGCATATTTAAGTTATATTTAGGAGAATTTTGCATACAAATTTAATTTTTTTTGTAGTAAAATATAGGAATTATTAATTCCGCATATTTAGATTATATTTAGGAGAATTTTGTATACAAATTTAATTTTTTTTGTGGTAAAATATTTAAATTAATTTTATAGGAGAATTTTGCCTACAAATTATATTTTTTATTTAGGTCTACAAATTTTTATTGACCCCACCTTTGAAGTTTAAGTGATTTTTAGGAAAATTTTGCCTACAAATTTAATTTTTTATTTAAGATATTTAAAAAAGTTTTTTCTATAAATTTTTATTTAAGATATTTTGAAAAATTTTTTCTACAAAATGTTGTATTAGGGTAAAAAAAAATATAGAAATTAATTCCGCATCCTTTATATATGGGAGAGAGAGGGGTAGGTAATGGGTCCTGCGGCGGGATCTAAAAACAAACTACAAAAGACATGGGGATGGCGATAATATTCATGAATATCTTCTTGAATATAGATATTTTAGAAAATATAAATTGTTAAATCGTTCTGACATTTAAAATTGTTTAATACTATATATCGTGTATAAATTTGAATACTATATAAAATTGCGTCATTTAATACTATATTTCGATTTAACCCTTCACTAGAATGGTTAATCAGTTTAATCTTATATTTATTTATTCTTTATTAATCCATATATCAATAATGAATATATGCGATGATAAATAAATTATACAATTGATAGATATATTTGAATATATTTTCGTGATATATAATACATTATTAATATTTTACTATAAATAATAAAATATAAAAAAAAAGTTATAAATTTAAAACTTAGACATTTTAATAAAATTATTGAAATAATAAATATATCCACTCCCCACATGTCATTAATTACTTTCTAGGCATTTAGACATAGACACTATCTGAAATCCAACACTATAGGCGAGGCTGAGATGATAGAATCAGCTTGGCATTCCGCGATCATAATGAAATTTTAAAAAAAAATTAAGTATATCTACTTTATGAGAACATTTCATAGTTATAGTATAATGGAAAAATATACATACCCCCTCATTCATATAAACATACTTTATTCATCCATTAAGGTATAAAAGTTCTTTTGATCTGAGTACATAAATAAATTTCGAAATTGTCCATAATATTAATATATTTTTGGCATTTTGTCCACATTCACACTAATACTTTTGGTGTTAATCAACATTAAGTAAAAATTAAATATTCTAAATTAGGGTATATAAGTATAGTTCTAAAAGAAAAATAATTAAATAGGCTTGAGTAGAACTATTAGAGATGAATATCTATGAATAAATATGTTACAGTCTACATGTATTTTAAATATATAAATACGGAAAAAATGTATAATTTTACCTCTGTCACGGTCTATATCATCAGGCTTAAGGTAAATGTCGTCCTCCTCACTTTCTTTACAATTACTTATATTTTCGGAGTCTGTATTTACAGATTCGAATATGTATTTTTCATATGTAGAAGACATAAAAAAATTTTAAAAAAAGAATTTATACAAGATTACTAATAAAAATATCACCGGGGTGGCCTAATGGGTAAGATGTAGGCTTGGAAACACGAGTATGAACAAGGACGCGGGTTCAATCCTGGTAAGAACCATAAAAACTTTCAAGTTTTTCTTCGATGACTGATGTGTAAAGACATATGGTATGATGAATTTCGGAGCTTAGAGATGACACCCCGGTCACCGACAGGCCTGGACAGCCGAGTGCTGAGGATACCTGTCCAATAAACAAAATGAAGGACACAAATGAAATATGAATATGAAAGCTAGGGCGTTCCCTCCATGCGACGCGCAGGGTGTAGACCTCCATCCTGTGAAAAATAAAGTAAAGGTCAAAGCAAAGAAAAGACTGGCAAGTTTGAATATTGGGACGCTTAAAGGTAAGAGGAGAGAATTGGCATCAATGTTGAACAAGAGAAAAGTTGATATAGCGTGCATACAAGAGACGAAATGGAAAGGACAGAAAACTTTGATGATTGGAGATGGGTATAAATTGTACTATAATGGACTTGTTAGCAATAGGAACGGTGTCTCAGTAGTAGAAGTCAACAGGATCTCTGAGAAGACTAATGAAGATCTCTGCATTGGTCAATCAATACTACTCATCCTATCAGTATATGCTTTTCAAACGGGTTGCAAGGAAGAAGGGAAAGATGACTTTAGAGCTATCCTTGATGAAGCTGTAATGGATGACTTAAATGCGCATGTGGGGAAAGCAAGAGATAGCTACAAAAGGCATCATGGTGGTTTTGAATACGGAGAAAGAAATGATGAAGGAGAGCACGTACTGAAATTTGCGCAAGCCTTCGACCTTGCCTTAACCAACACCTACTATAGGAAAAAAGACAGTCATTTAATAACATATGAAAGTGGTACTAGGAAAACACAGATAGATTACATGCTAATCTCTCGCAGAGACTGCAAAGTCATCCCAGGAGAAGATATCGTCGCGCAACACAAGCTACTAATCATGGATTTACAAATCTCAAATAAATCCTCTTAAAATAAGATAAAACTGGAACCATGCATCAAATGGGGCAAATTAAAAACAATGACAGATGCCTTTGCAATCAATGCAAACATTGAAACAATAAATTG